ATCAATTAATTTTTCATTCCAAAACTTTATTTATGAAAATAATTCATTGACGTCTGCAAATACTTTTATTTGTCAATATGCTTGGCACATGCTCACTAGTGTGAGATATCAAATACATGATCAAATAGCCAATGATAATACCTTGAAAAATTATATCTTTCAATTATTCAATGAAAATCATAATGATGATTTTATCTATTATATATTTGAACGGCTGCGACGATTGACAATTTCATTAGAAAATTATTTTCTTAAAATTCTACACGAATTACCTACTATTCGGAAAAATTATTATGATTTGTATCTTGATAGTACTTTTTATGAGATGGACATGGCTTGGAAGAATTATGTTCGCATTCCATGGTTTTGTTTTACACCAACACGTCTTATTATTAAGCCATTTAAATTTATGCGATCAAATCGGGTATTTCGATATATATCAAATGTAAGCCAATCAATGGCTTTTGTGGAATTTCGTGATGATACAGGATCGGCATATTTATCAAAAGAACTTGTTTCTTTTTTAAAACATTATCTTGAAAACGGATTCTGGTTTGGTGGTCGTCATTATATTTATTTACATCATGCTCAATCTCAAGTTCGTCAGAAACAATTTTACTTTTATTGTGAACAAGAGGGTAAAATGACTCGTGAAGCACTTGAAAATTGGATGGGTAATTTTGAGCATGAACGATTACCAGCGAAGAATACTGCTCGAAGAACACAACCATTCTCTAGTACAGATGCTACTATTTCAGTAAGAATACATAAGCATCTTTTAACAGAAACAAACAGCCATAATATTTCCTTCAAAGATTGATAAAAATATCGTTGATTCGATTCCTGACTTGAAGACAATAGATGGGAAGTATAATTTTACTGATGGTGTTGGACAGATTTCATCAGAACTGAATCTATTGGTGAGTAATGTGTCTTTATATCCTCTAATCAAGATTATTATTCGATCGAGCAATATCATTGATTTTTATTTGTAGATCCATAAATCAATTGGTATAAATGTTGATCATGGTGATTATATTTCAAGTGTTCTTCAGATTCGTTATGGAGGTTGTAAGGGTACTATTGCCGTTAATCCACTACTTGATGGACAAAAGAAACAATTATTAATTCGACCAAGTATGAATAAATTTGAATGTAAACATCAGATACTTGAGTTATGCAAACGTTCACTTAGACGTAAGTCACAATTTATTTATAAATTTATATCTTTCATATATTTTATAATTTGATATATTCAGGTCATCTTTGTCTTAATCGTGAAGTAATTAACTTACTTTCATATCGTGGTATATCCGATGCACATATTCTTGTTGTTCAACTTCGAAATATCTTATGGCTAATGACTTCTTTTGTTTCAAATCCATCAGCTTTGCATCTTCTTCAAGAAAAAATTCTCAATGTTTTACCATGGTCGAAAATTTCTTCTTATCAACATTTATCAAAAGAACCATTTTTTCGTCGTCTTCTTCTTACAACTGTCTCAAATAATCTTTATCAAATAGTAACGAGATCTCATATACGTGTTTCGAAAGCACGTTATATGTTTGGAACTGTCGATGAATATAAAGTACTCAAAGAAGGACAAGTTTTTATTCAAATTACTAATGAAGATGGAACTAAAACTGTTTTGGAAGGACCTATTGTTATTACTAAAAATCCGTGTCATCATCCAGGTGATTTACGTGTTGTAGAAGCTGTCAACAATATTTATCTTCATCATCTCTATGATGTTCTAGTCTTTCCTCAACAAGGTTCTCGACCACATGCAAGTGAAATATCAGGATCGGATCTTGATGGTGATGAATATAGTGTCATTTGGGATCCTGAACTCGTACCTATTTCATCCAATCCAGTTCCATACGATTATGATTGTGAATCGAGTCCAGAACCTCTCAATCGTGTCGTAACACGTACTGATCAACTGAAAGTTATCTTAGATATTTGTGAACAAGACAATCTAGGTCGATTAAGTAATATTCATCTTGTACTTGTCGATAAGTTCGGTATCGACAATGAAAAAGCGACTACTTTAGCTGCTGGAATAAGTGAAGAACTAGATAGTGTAAAATCAGGTCAACATCCTTATACATCAGAACAAATTAAGGAAATTATTTTAACAGCAGGTAAAACTCGACCAGATTTTATGCAAATGTCTAACTATAAACAGTATCAATCGCAAAAAGTACTTGGTAAGTTATATACATTACAATTCTAACAGATAAATCTAAACAGATTTACAATTCGTACTTTTTTGCCTAACAGGAAAACTGTTTCGAAGCGCTCGTCATTTAACCGATATTTATAAAAACGAATTTTCTAACAGTAACAATGGAGTTTTTCTTAATCAAACTCTTCTTCACAATGGTTATGAAGAATATATTGATTCTGCTCGAAATCTTTATAAACAATATCAATATGAAATGTTGGAAATTATTGGATCATATGGATTTTCAAATGAAATCGATCTTTTTTGTTGTATTGATTCACACAATATGAAAGCCAATGAACGAAGTGATATCCAACAAACAGCAAAAGAATTACTAAAGGCTGTTTTTCAAATTATTCAACAGAAGTTTCGTGATGATGTTGTTTCATTTCATAAAGCAAAAGCTAAAGCAGCTGCTTGTTATTATGTGGCATATACAGATACACATGCCAAAGATAAGTGTATGTTAAGTTTTCCATGGTTGTTTGCTTCTCAACTTCTCGCCGGCTATCCTATCTTTTCGGAAGATGAACAAGAAACAAATGATTTTATAGAAAATACATTCGATTCTGATTCAAATTTATATCATTACCTTAAACAACAGCTGCCATCATTAATAAATCTACTTCCAAATGAAAACCAATTCACATTTATGGAACTCTTAGAGATATGTTTTCAGAATGCCTGTGCTACTAATAATGAACAGATGATTGATCATGCCGAAATACTTATTGAACTATTGATCACAACTGAAAAAACTTTATATTTAAACTAATACCTACTTATATAGTTTTCTTTAACAAAGTTATTTATTCATTAAGTCCAGATTTTCACGTAATCAATATATCAGTTGTACATGTTTCTTTATAATTAAAAACATGTATTTTTTGTCATAGTATAATATTATTATTATTATTAATTCCATTCAAATCAATTTTATTTATTCAATTTTAGTCATTCGTCATGTTCAATACGATTGACATGACTTTGAAATTTGTACAAAATGACAAGGTGAATAACACATAATATAGCACAACATGAATACTTTATCACTTATTTCATACTCATTTGAAATCTATTTTGGTAAAAGATTCAAATATTATTATTATCTTAGTTTTAGGTACACGAAATTTGTTACTCTAAGATAAATTTTTATTATACAAATACATAACCCTAGTTCTTTTTTTAATGAATACATATTAATAGCTTTCAAATATATATGTCTGTCCAAATGAATTTACTTGTTATTGATATTTGCATTGTATTGGCTACAATTTGTCTTTCAACTATCATACAACGTCAGTTAACGACAGATTATTGATTTTTAACAACTAGAAACATCGAAGCTTTTTTTTCAATAAAATTCCGGTCAGTATATTGAACGAATTCAAATTTAATGACTTTGTTTTTCTTTTATGAATATTTTGTAGATTGAACAAAATCTTCATCAATACAAGTTTGACAATATTTTACTACAACAATTAAACTATATGATATTGTGAATATCATATGTTGTTATATTGGATTCAGATGACTTTATTTTGCTCTAGTACATAATTTAGAAATAATTGCCATTTGTTTTTGTTAATAAGACGAATTTAATTTAGTTTTTTTTTTATTAAAAGACTTTGTTAATGGTGAAATCTATGATAAAGACAAAGATTTAAAAAGTAATTGTAACAAGAATACAAATGATTTTGAACATACAATAAATCATACTCTTCTTTTCAAAGACTTTCTTCGGTACTATAATAAGATTCACATCATGTTGATATTTATTTTTAAGAAAAATAAATAGAGTAAGACGTCTCTATGTGAGTACCTCTTGATTTTCAATAGTGAGCAAATGTTTATAGTCCTATGAGTAATAACAATCTCCAAAATATGAGTAACGTATGATCTATCATTCAAGTGCAGAACGAGAAAAAAACTGATGTTATGTACATTCCGTCAAGATAAACAATCATCAAACATACACGTGACTACCAAACTTGTTCAACAAGGTTTATTTTCAATTTTTTTTTCGCTATCGTAAGCGCTAGAAAGATTTCAAATAGTGATTCGAACAGAAAAAAAATGTTTTCAACAAAAATATTAAGAAATATAAATTCTTATCTGGTTTCCGAAGACGGTTTGGAAGAAGAAAAGACTCACACCTATAACGTGTTCAAAGCATACTACGCAGTTATTTTAGGAAACACTACTTTTATATCGTAAAAAATTTGCTATTTCAAAAAAAAACTTGATGATTATTTAAACTAATAAATTAATAAAAACAAGAAAAAGATTACGTCATACAGTCGAAAAGCGATTGCAATATTACTCACATTAGAGAAGTTTTTCTGTAAATGTTTTCTTTTATTTGAATTTAATTTTGAAATAATTGTAGATACATAAAATGTTGCTTTATCGAACACCTTATGATTGATAATTTTTTATAACCTACGATACATAAATAGTCGTACAAATGTCGAGGCCTGTTATGTTCGAATGGAAACTGTTAGAGGTCTAACTTCTTCATTCACAGATAGAGCAAACTATATACTTTAAAACTCATATTTAAAATAAATCTATGATGAGCTACAAGATATTAAATTTTATTTTTTCTTAAAACTATTAAAATGACTTGTCATCAGGGTAAAATTAGGAGTTCTTTCAGATAGTGGCTATGTGTTTACTTTAATACTTTCAAATGGTATATAAATGTTGAGCAACTATATTAGCTTTAATTGAAGAAAAACTCAATTCACACGTCTATAATTCGTCAGAGTTATTAAAATCTCCAATTACGTCAAAATTGACGGCAAGTGCTATTTTATACACATTCTTTATTCCATCACTTGCAAATTCAATAGAATATATTTGTCTTATGCTACCTATGCGTTATTGTATGACATAAAAAGTTGCATATTTTGGATTTCTTTGAAAATTCATGTTTTAACAAATGTTTAAAACATTCATTAAGAATCGTGCAATGTACTGTTTTGACTTTTAAAACTAATTGCTGGCTACTTTGGATACGTAGAAAAATAGAAAATCGATTTTCAGAAAGTTTAGCTGCCACAACCTTCTCTTTTCTAGTTTGAATTCCCTATCTTCGCTTATAGTCAACATAATGTAAGTTAAATCAAGAAAATGCGTGAATATATATATATCGATAACAAATCATTTTTAGCGGTTTAAAAACAATTCAATACTAAAATGTCAAACTACTTCCTGAGTTTTATTTTAAACATGCACTTAAAAGTACATATTTTGCTCTATTTCTGAGTGAAAAAGTTACATTCCTAACATTTCTCGTTTGAACACAATATGCCTTTACATTCGTGTGGATACTGATGCATCGTAGTTTTGTTGAAGACTTGCTTAAAATTTGACTTATTATCGATATTATGCGAAAATATATTATTGTTTGTAAAATTTGATTCATGAATTGTGATCATTATTGTTATCTATTTCAATGGAAAAAGATTACAGAAATACAATCTTGCTTCCATAGTTATCGCCATCATTATCCGACGTAAAAAAAGAAGAAATACGTCACATGTTGTCTTTTTTTCATCTTTGACATTGAGCCAATAATATTACAAAGAGAATATAAAAGCTGCATAGCAAAGGTACTGAAAGAGAAAACAACTAGAGCAAGAAACAGAACACTTAAAACTATGGTAAACATTGAAACAATGTAGTATGATTTAAATAAACAAGCTTATAATAACTATGGAAAAGTTCACGATAATCAAATTTTACCAAATAGATCAAAATCAATCAATCAAGCACAAGCAGTTACTGCTGTACCTACTCATCGACTACCCAGGAATAATTTGACACCAACACCAGTTACGTCTAGCCTGCAAGTATTTTTTGTCATTTCTGATATTCTTTATTTGATATGGAGTGTATTAGGCGTTGGTATCTAAATGGGTCTTATTTGTCATTCTGATTGAACATATTATGGCGGTTTCATGAGAAGTTCTGCTCTAATGGGCGAAGGAATCATTATGTTAGTTGTAGCATGTATAAAATCTCGTGTAACGAATTAACTGATACTACTATTTGGTTTTCTGTTTATTTCATTCTATACTGGGACTCATTGTATCTATCGTTTATGTAGCTGGATGAAATCAATGTGGTTCAATACACTATTGGTATAAGTGTGACAGTACAATAGCATACAATCTAAAAATAATTATCCTGGCAGTGTGTATTATTGCATTTATTCATAGTATTATCAATTTGGTTGTGATTGTAAATACATGGAAGTCAACAACAACAGGATCTACTTCAAGTATTCCGACTCAATAATACTTCATAATAAACCAAATCTAAAATAAGTTTGTTTTCTTTCATCTCCGACATGGCCACCTCTGACTAATGAACAAAACTGTTGATTTGATTCATTTTCACTAGTCTAATTCAGTATATGAATACACTTATATTTTCCAATCAAAATATCGTAGAAAAATTTTTCGAAAGCAATAATCTTCTTGTTTTATTAAGACTAGAAATAATTATTTTTCTTCAAAGAAATCATAACTCATATCAAACAACTAATCATGATGCAGTCAATATTGTCATTGATTGTTGAGAAATAAAATTCACATTACCATGTTTGTTTCTTTGATTCTAATTTCTTAAAATTGAAATCTACGCAAAAATAATATGATTACGATTCACTCAGAAATACGTTTCATACTATGAAGCATTCGATATATTAGAAGAAGCTTTCTGTAAACCGATTTTTTCAAAATAATTTTATAATTTCTTTATTCTTTGTTTGTTGTGTTAAAGTTCATAATAATATCTAAGCTTAATATGGACTATATTTTGATCCTATTGTCGTATCAATGTGTCAGCTACGATTTTTGCAGCATATTCTAAAGAAATTCTTTAGGTTTTATATGCAAAAATCTAAACCGTTTCCGTGCTTCTTGCGCCTAATCAACTCAGTGCATATTCGCACAGATCACACAGGCAGAGATCTTTGTAAACTTGGAACGTATTTAGTAAATTTGTGTTGTAAATTATTGATTAAGATACATCTTCGCCTTTGCACTTTCTTCGAAAAATATTTTGTGATGCACTTCTTCTAACGAGGGAAGGTTCTCAGGTGTTCTGCTGGAATTTCAACGAAAAATTTATGGATTTGTCAAGTCAGGTATTCTGGTCTCAAATCTGGAAAAATCAACGATTTAGACGACTCTGATAAAAAAAGTTGCAGTTAAAACATTTTTTTACCGGACCCTGAAGGAGACCAAAAGTGGGTTCTTCGACGCAAAAAATGTGAAACACTCATAAGTCGAGTCAGTTTTTGTTGCTGGCTTCAAATACATTATGAGTTTCGGATAACATTGTGTTTTTTTTATTGAAATCTGCTGAATACAAGTTAAAGAGATACGAAATCATGTTTTGAGAATAATTTCCAAGAAGTTTCTTGAGTGGCCAATAGTTTTGACGATTCAAAAATATACGATTTTGTTCGGTTTCAAAAGCGCTATCGATTGATTTATGAAGATTTACATGAATTAAACAACATGTTTCTTTATCGATCGTCAACACAATTATCAGAACAGAATTTTTAACTAATCTACCACTGATCGTCAATGAAATAACAAATGGAAGACGGTGAAATGTTTTGTTTTCAATAGACATGTCCTAAAATGAATCGATGTAGAATTCAATGCTTTATCTAATGAGACTATCTCGAAATGAGATTTGATATCAGTGAACAAAGATATCAGCAACAGGTCTTATGATTTCGGCGATGGTAAGCTAATGGTAGTATTGTGGTTCATTATTTCTCTAGTTGCCATTAAGTCAATTTGAAAGTATAGCCAAATCACTTAGCGTAATATTCTGTATCGAAACATATATGAACTTTAGCAATTCAAAAATTGGCCGATTTGATTCCTTATGCGTTCTTGTCCTTTATAATATCAAAATCTAAATTATTATCAAATGACTAATAATATGATATTTTTTATTTTGGAAAGAGTTTATTCTATAAATTCGATTGAATTAAAATATCAGTAAATTTTTAACAGATCTCTTGAAATTCCTAATTCAATAATAAACAATTTTATTTCTTTTTCGTAACAGTAAATGAAGCTTTTCCGACATCATATGTTTGTGAATGTGGATGATGTGAATCACATTCACCATTACAGAATTGTGCAGTGACATTATAGGTACCGACTGGAAAATCATCACAAAGTCCTATCGAAAAGAAAAAAAAAAAGAATTTATTACAAGACAAATTCGAGTTAAATTTACCTTTTGTCGAATCACAATTCCAAGCAGTTAAAGTTCTAAGACCAATTTTTTCAGAATATGTACCAGGTTTTTTAGATTCAATCAAATAATCATTACTATCTGTTTCATTACGAGGATCAGTAATATCCAAACGTAGCATACTTGTGCCAGTTCCATTCATAGATTTGAATGAACAATCAATAATAAATGTTGTACCTTGTGGACCAGTATTTGGTAAAACACTAAATTTCATAAATTTAGCATCACCATTATCATTAACTATAAATAAAAATATTTTGATATATAAAATCGTTTTCTGTTTTTTTTTAATCTTACCTGGGCACAAACGAGCCATTTCACAGTACCAAATTGGATCAATATCAGCTGCAATAATTAAATGAATAAATTCATCAATACCAATAGCATCACATGCTAGATCACATACAGTGCCAATAAATGGTACACCCGTCTTATTAGCAACAATACTACATAACTTTTCACAATTTTCCATAATGCCCTCATCAAGAATCACATTAAGTATAACATTAATTGCTTCTACAGCTTCATCTATACACGTTGGGCAAAGATCAATACCAACATTGTGGTCTCGAATATCCGATGAAAAACGTTGTAAATTTTTCGATGGAGTATTGAATGAACGAGCAGCATTCGAAATACCAACAACAACAAGAAGAATGACACTAAGAGTCTTGTACATTTTGTGTGAATATGTGTGTGTTCTTTATATTATTAACTTTAAAGACTACTAATATGCGAAAATACTGCCAATAAATATTCTCGCAGTGGGAAGAAAGTAAACCTGTTGAAAGAATAGTTAAGCATTAATATAGAAATAATCTAACACAAATGGTCAAATTTTCACACAATACTTTTTTTTAATTTGAGACTCTTATGTGACCTGTTTGCTCTAAGTTAGTTCACAATTAAAATCTAGGTTAATAAATATATCTCACTGGATATAATGAATAAAACTTAAAACAAAAATATCGATTAAATTTCAAAGTTTAGAGAATTACTTTCTACAAAAATTTATATTAAAATAGATTAAAATTAATAAGTACAAAGTAAATACTGTCTCTTTACAGATACACATATAATGGAATCAGTGATTCAGATATAAGCTATAATAAACGAAAAAAAATGACTTAGAAGTTATTCATAGAGAGCATCACAGTAGAAATCGTCTTTTCAATTCTCTAACTGTTTGGAGATGTCCCATGTTGGCTGGTTTCACCTCATTCAACGTTCAGTTTTCAAAACGTTTTTAGAAAGAGCATATTTGCTTAACCCTTTACGGCCGGCTGCATAAGCCATCTAATAGCGATATCTTCTTCGGTGCATATTCCTTTCTTGTCGGGTACCAAAATTTAACTAATAAAAAGATTCTTCTCATTACATTTATTGTTTTGACTGTGGTAGAGATCAATGAAGTCTATTCTTTTAGAACGAAATTCTTTCGGCACTAAAAAGATCGATGTGCCCAAATGGACACATCCGGCCGTAAAGGGTTAANNNNCGTTAGAATTTTTTTTGTTTTTGCAAAAACGCAACGTGTTAAATGCTTAGTCATCATGAATAAAATGATCATAACTTTTCATAACTACGACACCATTTCAACCATTTTTTTTTCAGATAATAGCTCTTCTCATTGTCTAAAAAACTGTATATTTCAATCAACTATCTATATATGTATTCATAGAGATAACGTCAATTTACAGAGAGGGATCGAAACTTATGGACCACGCTTTATTTTAATTATGACTTATTTAAATGTAGACATTTCATTTGATATATATTGTCTAAACACTTTAATGAATATGTAATATAACTGAACGTTTCTTTTTCATTTGGACTTTTGGAACATTCTGTATAAATCACAAATAAACAGGATCAGCGATTATTGATAAATAAAATATCTTTTTATGATAAACCGTTGAACAAGGAAATCTTTCGACTAAAAAAAGGTAAACCCAATCAAGTTTATTGTAAAAAAACAACAATAGAAACATTCGAACTCAAATTCTATTATAACACATTCTATAAAAGTGATACATCTATTAATCTAACTAAATTGATACAATATCCAAAAAAAAAACTCACAATTGGATTTGAAATAATCGCATGCAGTACCCTTGTGTACAAGACTATGGGTTTCAAGTTTTGGAACAAAAAGCATACTATTAGTACAAAATTCAAATAATTAATCGACATTAAAATATTAACTTTGTTATAATATTCTCGTTATAAATTTCTAATTCTTTTGATGCTTCAGATTTATCAGAATTATGCTGACAAAAATAAATTTTTAATTAAAAAAATGTGAACATATTATCTCTAATTTTTTCTTTTTGGCGCGCATGAAACAACTGCATGGATACAAGTGCAAAGATAATCTAGGCACGAAAAACCTTCCATGTTGAAAGTAAACAGTCGTGTGGATAATTTGCCGACAAAAACATTCTTCATAATCATTGATGCGTATTATCACTCTCAGACGCACTTCCTTAATTTCATCTCTGTTGATTCCTTGCCTTTCACTATCAGGTACTGCCATATACAGTCATGTCAAACTTCAAGCTTGAATTCAATTATTGAAAGATATTCCAGTAAGAGAGATCCTATCTATATTTCAATGAATAATTGAATATTTGGATTTCAGCTACGAAATATTCAATAATTGAATTAAATTTTCAAATTTGACATATATCTAGAAGCATTGACTTAGTATTAGAGTTTTAAAAAAGTAATTTAATAGTTTGACATTAGTATTTTGTTAACATTATCTTAATACTAACATCTATTAATAATCGTATAGGATTTCTATAGATTCATTGATTCAGTTATTACATGAATGTCTAACTCATCCTGCATTATCTATATTGTAAATCGTTTCAATCTTCATCGCATTAATATGATTTTACATATTTAATACCCATACGGGTATATATATATAGATTCATTTTGATCCGATACAGATAGAAATACTTTTGTAACTAAATTGATACATCTATAAACATCTTACAAGATTATTAATACATAAATGTTAGCATTAAGTTAGTGTTACCTCAATATGAATACCAAACTATTAAATTATTTTTGTTTAACGCTAAATGTTTTTAAATAAAATAGAAATTATACAAAAAGTAAAAACATCTAAAAGACTAAAGATTTTATACATATTAGAAGAGAAAAACGGCATTAAGTGTGTGAAGATAGACGAATTCAATTCTATTTCCTTGTGGATTGATAAGAAATGAAGTTTGCTTTTTTTCTTCATTATACTATATTCAAAAATCAAGAAATATATCAACAAAAAAAAATTTATTTAATTAAAATGTATTTGATTTTTAACAATCAGATTGGATTACGTAGAATAAGATCTATTTCAGATTAATCTTTTTTTTAAAAAAAGCATCTATTTTCATTTATAGTAAAATAATTTAGTATTTCTTACCACTTCTCTTTTTTTGCAATTTTAATATAATGATATTCTTATAAATTTTCATATGATCTTATTCCTTTTTTAATGTACAACACAATAATGTTTCATATTCTAATGATTTATAAAAAGAAACCCTAAAGCATTTTCATATTTAATATATATATAAGAGATTGAAATCAATAAATGCATGAAGTACTTGTCTATGTCATGAAAATAATGAAAAGAAAAATTAAGTTCATTTAATTTATTTCAATATTATTGATAAAGCTTATGTCTTTTAAAAATGAAACATTTAGGATAAAATAAAATGTGTAAACTAATTGATCATTGGATGTATAAGACTTCATTCATCATCACGTTTGTTAAATGTAAGTGTTCCATGTTGACCAATAATTGGTTTAAGACTAGCTTTTTTATAAAGAACATGTGGATGATAACGTAATGAAGCTCGTTGAACTAATTGATGATAAAACTGATCTTGCTGATTAGGTACTTGTTCACGAAGATCATCACCAAAAATGAAATCACTTACTTCATTGTTATCATCACTGATGATTCTTGCTTGATATTGACAACAAAAAAATACTAGTTATCAGAATTTAAAAAAAAAAAGAGAAAACAAAAATAAATAAATAAATAACGTAGTTTTTAATTAAAAAATCATACTTGTCATTATAATAATACATTTGATTAAATTCAAAATTGAAACCATGTTTACTTTTCTTAGAAATTTAATTGAAGATGGATAGTCTGATATATCTAAGATGAAATAATCTTTTTGACTTCTAGTTAATGTTAAAATGATGAATATATGAGCATATTCATCAAGCAACAGGAAAAGAGAAACTAACAAATGAAGATAGTTACTTGAACGGAAGAAGCAAAAAGAGAAAATACCAAACTAAAGCGTCGACTAATTATAATGATCGGATTGATACTGTTTTGATTTCTTCTCTCTTCTTCTTCCGTTTTTCTAATAACGAGACAAAATGAACATTCTAAAGTTTATTCATGTAGAAAATTTAAAACTAAATTATTATATCAAACAATAACTACTATTCTGAGATAGACCAAGTGTAAAGACCTTCATTAGACTTACATTCAAGACAAATGTCATCAAGAGAAATATAAAAAAAACAAACAACTACAGTTGTTACTTTTCTATATTGTAGAATTCAAAGACATAAGTATCCATAGAAGATTAAAAGTATTTGAAAGAAAAAAAAAAACGTCGCCATTATAATTTCACACTGAATATTCATATAATTGTCTTATTCATATCTAATAAGAACTTCAAATGAGATAAAAACAAAATATGTTATAAAGCTATTTCTTATATATTTTGACGCTTCTTATAAAATTTCATTATTGCTAATGCATAATTCTAAAAAACTTCTGTCGCCTAAGACTATCCTTATTTACTTACAATGAATGAAATATTTCTATTTCAGTATCTGTGCAGTTTCCTGTGGGATTTTAATTTTAATATAAAAATTATATTAAATTCTGTTTACTGAAAAAAAAGTTTTTTAATGAATCTTGCAAAAAATATATCGCCGAATAAAACATCTTTACTCATGGTATTTTTCATAGTGAACCGATTCAAAGAGAGAGGTTAATGTAAGTCTGTTTTTTGTAAAAAAAAAATGACTGAAGACATTAACAGAAAGAAAGTATAATGTTAAAACTATGAACAGAAAGCTAATGAGAACATCCTAAAGTATTCTAACAATTTCTTAAGACTAGTTTATTTAAAACATAAAGAAAATATAGATGGATTTTCAGTTCTAACTGATTTAATATTCAAGAAAAAAAGGATAAAAAAATTTGCTCCATTTTCAGATTAAATCGAAGACTTAAAAATATTATTGCACTGAAAGCGAACATTTGCATATACACCTTTGGTAATCTTCTCACTATGCCAAATGAAAAAAGATGAAAGTGTAATTAAATTACAACTTCTACATGATTTTTGTTAATTAATATTGAAGAGTAAAAAGAGATTTTGGCTTTTGTTTTAATGAAGAGATTCATCAAATCATTTACAAATGAAATATAGGTTAACTTTAAATGACATCTCTTCTGTAAAACATCCGATTTAATCAACTCCTCCCTGTTCTTTCTTTTCGGCAGCAGCTCATCAGACAGTTTTGAAACTTTCAGTATAGATAGATCTCGATGGATAGAATAAAAATTGTCATTGATTTAAAATTCTCAAATGCTTTCTTCTACGAGATGTTCCAGATACAAAGGTTAAAAGTCGTCTCTCCGTTCAATACATCTGTTAGAGTTGACATTTGTTTTTTTTTTTTTTTACAGATAATAGACATTGTTCGGAGTACCTATTTGTTTTAGTTTCTTTTTAACTGCTTTCATTTGCATAAAAAGTAGTGTTATGTGGGAACGATTTTTGCCGTATCGTTTCTCGAGGGAATCGGGAATGAAAACGATAATATTAACGAGCGTTTCCGAAAATCTTTTTATTGTGCTTTTATATTCATTAAGATAACACCTTTTTATTATTAATAAGCATTTTGAAACACAATAAACCTTGCAAAAGTCTTCGAAAAAAAAAAGTGAAAACTCATTTCTCAGAAGCTGAGCATTGGCTTGATATGAATTGTTTTTGGTTTGAAATAGTAAAGTTTGAAGAATGAAACAGATTGGCATATTTAGCATTTTTACTTTCATTTTATTGTGATGAATATCGAATACGGAGAAATATCTAAAATATCTTTGCAATCTAGTTTTTTGATATTATCAGTCGTTGACTTTGCTTGTTTCAAACTTTGAATTACATTTAATCATGGGATATGGCTTTTCAATTCTTATTATCCTGTCTGTTTTTTTTTGGTTATATTGTCGACAAGAAAATTCTCTTTTATGATGTTCTCTCCGCTGGAATCACACGTTGGTAAAAACTATGAAATAAGAAGAGCCAGCAAATCCAAAAAAGTTCTGAAATTTGTTTTTGTCATTTTCGCCTTAGATACAATGTGTTTGGCTCTGTCTAAGGGTATATTCTGACCGTGGTATCAAGCCATTGACGTGATACAATTTTCCAAATAAACGTTCACAGGAGGTGCAACAATTTTTATTCAAGACCAGTAGAAAGAATGCTCTCGTACAGTATAAATCGACTAGAGAAACAATATAGAGTCGAAATCAATTCGATGTTATACATTGTTAAGACATAATTTTTGACATTCTTTCAAAGACTTTTGCGTATTGGTTATTAATTAATACAAAATTAACAAATATCTATCAAAAAATATTAGACAAATTCATTGAATTCTCACAACTATGATTTTCTTTGTCATTAAGTCATTATTCAGGTTATCTCGCCAAATAGCATAATTATTATCTTCTCTTTTTGAATATTTTGGTTTTTATATCGGCAATTTTTATTTCCTACTTAGCATTTTTTTTCTCTTTGCAATTGTTCAATTAATAAAGAAAATATCATAGTTTTATTTTTAATGTAAGATCATCTCAAGTTGCGCAAAATACGACGTTGACAGAAGCTAATGTATGGTAATGACACTTTTTCGTTAAACACGGAATAGGATATCAAAATAGGAATTCTAAAAATCTTACTGAAACGGAAATCAAGAAAAAGTGTTCCTGCAGAATGAAAGGTCTTTTAATTGGAGCTTTTTTTTGTAGAAGTTTGACAAAAACCAGCAGCACGTCCTATTTTGCAGCGAAAAAAATCTAGACACTATAAACAACTTCTAGTATGAATTGAAAAAGTACCAACTCAATCAGTTCTACTGTGGTAGAGAACGGAAACGATTGTTAAGTTATTTTTTGAAAACAGCAAAAATGTTCTATCTATTCTGATCTTTCGTTTTTTATAGCTATATATTAGTTCTTCAACTATGTCCAGTAGATATAAACTACTTCGCAATGTCTATAGAGCAGAAAAACAAACAAGAATGAAAAACTTTCAAATCTTCAGTCGGGAAAGAGAGAAGTTTCCCTTAAGCAATGAAATTTGATAAAAGTAAAGTTATTTTCAATCTCTTGTTTCTGCAAATTCATTTCGTCAATTATTTGAATACAACCATTTATTCAGTTAAAAAATACTATTGTATAAAAGTCCTTGGTAAATATGGTTTGTTTAGTTTTTGAATAAATCTGTTTGAAAAAATGAATAGATGCATACTTTTCTTACTTGATGCATTAGAAGCTTTTTAATTGATGATTGCATTTTAAAAAAAAAGAAATGTTCTTCGAACTGTATCAGTTAGTAAAATAATGAATGGCTAAGATATAGCTGTTTGCAAAAAAAAAACATCGCATACTTCACTTTGCAGATATTTCTTTCTATGCATATCGACTTGAACCGTTTCATCTCTCAAACAACAGTTTACAAAGAATATTATGTTGTACCATAATTTAAAATTTTATTCATTCATTCGTAGAAGCAATAACAGAAAAAAAAGAACATCACTTTTTCATTAAAAACCACTCAAGTTCATTGATGTTTTTTTTAATTTTCTACTTCCAACTTCATGTTTTATTGTTTGAGCAAATATTTTGCGTTCGATTTACAGCCCTGTTGTTAAGATGTCACTCTTTTCCCCTCGGAAAAGGTTTACATTCGTCAGAATTAGTGAAATTGAGATGATAGCCTGAGGACTGACCTTTCATCAGCAAAATGATTATTCATTTGACATTCCCTTTCTGGCCAAAGTTTTTGATGATTTCTTTCATTATTTGCTTAAGACTGCTTTCTTTTCAGAAAAATTCAAAAATTTTTTTCAAACTTTTCTCTGTTTATGCTTCTTTAATTGCGCATTGGAGAATTCTCGAAGGAACTTCATTTAGTCATTAGCTATTTCTTGTTTGAAAAAGTATGTCAAGCTGCAATGTCTGTTGTTTGAATTAACTTTTTTTTCATGATTATATAAAAAAAACACTTCTATAAATAAATAACCATTTTCAAGGTATTAAACTTGTCACATCTTTTTTCTTCGCATAAAAATTAAGCATAAAAAAAAAGGACCCTACCAGGTGCTGCATTTTGACATGCTCTTTCAAGTAGAAAAATATAAATTTAGAGAATGAGGACCCATAGAAAATTTTGAATTGCTAAATGAGCTATTTTTTAACCTTGTTTGTTGAATATCTTCCGAACATGTGATGATATATGGCTGAAAATTCATTACGATTTGAATGCACTTGACTCAAGATCGATTTTCAAGGAAGAAGAAGTTAAGCTGATCGGGTTCATTATTTGAGATGCATTATCATTGAATAATTCTTTATCAATATTACTGGTGCACTTAATAATGTTATGATCATATTATAAATACTAGTTTTTGCAAAATTTCATATCGAAAAAAAGAGAATAGATAATTGAAGAATCTCATCATGTCTCTTTGGATTGTCTACATGTTTTTTATGTATGCATCTAAGTAATATCTGATTATTACAATGAATATATTGATCAACAACGATTTTTTGTATTTGATACTGAGGGCGTATGATCGACCATTTCTTCTTGGAGAATCAAGTAAATTTATTGATTTGGATTTGTTGATATTATAAATAGTTTCCTCATGGGAATTCTGTTTTTTACGCTTCATAACTTTAGCTAATCTCATAGCTTTACTTCAATAATGTATTATAAATAGAAAACAATTATTTTAAAGAGAAAAATATAAAATATCTGCTTTTTTTATATAAACAAAGAAATAAAAAACAATCGTGTTTTCATTAAGACATATATTTTTGTTCGGCTGGCGACGAACGACGACCGAGAAACTATAACGTATTATTGTTTCCAAGTGATAATTATAAGTCAATCATGGTGATTCTCTATTCTTGATAGATTTCATCTTCTCGAACAACAGTTAATTCAATATATCAGTGCAAAATGAATGAAGGCTTGAGAAAAAAAACATCAGATATTCAAATAACAAGACAAATTTATCTGACCTTCACAAAACATATGGAACATTATTTTTTATGTTTCCAAATGGTTTTTGGTTTAATCGAAAATAAAAAAAACCGAAATGAAAAAAAATAATAAATAAATACTAAACTTCAAATACTAAGAAGACATCGTAAAATCGCTTAAATGGATAATTCTATTTTACAAATTAATAAATATTAAAACAATTTTAATTTTTCAATTTTATATTAAACAAAACTATACAAATACATTCATAATTTATATTCGTTCGAATTATGATTTATATAAAAAATTTTCATTAATATGAGACATATAATGAATTTTTATTCAATGAATAGAGGATTGTCGTGCTTTAGAATTAATGCTTTCAAAAATAACAGACCACAAATGACCTTGACGAAAAAAGTAGTTTAGTAAAGAAGAAAAAAAAAAAAAAGAAAAGACTCATTAGTAAGCAATGTCATTCAATTGACAAGAGATCTACTAGACAATTTAAAGTAATACTGAAAGAAAAAAACACAGAATAAAAAATATTTGCATAAATCATCGTTAATCATCAATGAATTACTTATTAAAAGATAACTCATCATAGCAAAGACAAAAAGAATAAATTTGCTCTTATTGCCAGATGGTAATTTTCTCAGGATAAAAATCTGATAAAAATATATTCGTAGAGTAATACTAACTCGTAGTAATTTCATTTCGTTTTTAAACCACAAAACAGAAACATGGTCTTATTACAATTAATCAGTCTATCGGTTAATATTCTATGTTTAATACAGAAAGTTCCACAAATTTATCAGATTTATAAAACAAAAAATGTTGAAAGTGTATCAATATCATCTGTATTACTTGAAGAAACAGCGTAAGAAAATATCAATACATAAATAAATAAATAAGTAATTGTTTATTATTAAAATTTAGTTATACACTGATATTAACTTATAATCTTTGGCGAAATTATCCATTATTAACATTTTTTGAATATATTTTTCTTTTTATACAAGGTAGAGAAAGAATTTGCGTAATGTTTTTCTTTGTTTTCATTACATATCATAGATTTGCTTCTCCTATGGGCATTATCAAAATATTCAATGAAAGAGTCAAAAGAAAAAGACAAATTAAATGATCGATCGACTCCATTATATGGAATAGCTATGTAAGGATCTAACATGGGACTATATATATATTTATATTAATAAAATTTTGATAGATTCTGTGTTTATCTGCTAATGAGTCTCATGGGTCTTGTACCAGCAACATGGATGCGTATGTGTACAGTAAGAAGTTTTATTTGCAATAATTCTTAAATTCATTCCAATCATTTCGACAGGTATTTGTGATTCCAATTAGTGCAATATCAAAAATCGCTCAACTTCAAACTATTCTAACCAATAAAAGTTCTGGTCAAGTTAATCGATCTGTTTGGATAATGGCTTCTTACAATAATTTTGGTATGTTATTCATATGATCTTGTTGTTTTCTTTTTTGATAACCTAATTGAATGTTATTTTAGCTCGTATACTGACAAATCTTATTGAAACACAAGATAAAAGTATGGTTATAAATTTATTTGTTAGTTTAATTCTTAATACTTCAATTGTTATTGCATGTACGGTCTACAAATACGGACCAATACGAAAATCCAAGGATAAGAAAAAGAAAAAGACAACATAATTACAATTACACAAACAACATTCATATATATTGAATCATATGAAGTTTTAATATTGTTGTAATAATTAAAGAAAACATAAACAACAATTAGATATATGATTAGGATCATCTGATTTAAGATATTCAAAAAAAAGATGTTTTGCTTTATCTTCTTCAAGTTTATCATCTTTACTTAATTGTTGAAAAGATTTTTCTGCTGTTGCCTGATCAACACCAAAAAATTGACATGTTTTAACCCATTCATCTTTTGCTATATAACCATCATGATTTAAATCAAGCATATGAAATGTTGTATTTATACGTTGAGCTATTTGTTCTAAAATTTCCGGATTAGTATCTGGTTTATGTAATTCTTTTGCAAGATGTTGATGAAAATCGAGCCATTCTTCTGAAATAAAAAAAAAACGAGAATATTTCATTTGAAGGAAAATTTTAAAAAGACTTTCAATATATACCTAATGTTACTTTTCCATCTTGATTTGCATCAGCTCTCATTATTTCTTGACAAAGAGTTTTACGTGCATTTGCATAATCTTCACGTCGTTTTTTATCATCTTGTCCAACCAATGTTGAAAGTTTATTAGCAAGTATTTCAAAATCAAGTGGAGTTATTGAACCATCATTATCAATATCTGAATAAATATATTTTTGTTTAAAAACAAAAAAACAATATTTTTTTAATATTAAATACCATAAAGATGAAAGAGATGTTTCATTTTTTCATTCCAAAATGTATTTGATTGACTCATCTAAATTAAATTATCTTAAAAGTACAATTATTAATCAATAGATTTACCATTTGACCTTTATTTTATAATGAAACACACGTATATCGAAGACAATAGATGTGGTGGTGTATTATCGTTGCAACTCTATGCTCTAATGCATCAGAACAGAGACAATCTTTTTTTTTGCTTTTCTCGAGAATCTCCGATCTATCTCTTGGAATAAATTATACAGCCGGCACGCGAAAGCGATGATGGCATCGCTGTTATTCTATTCTTTTCTGTTTCTCTATCGTTTTCAGTTCTCATATAATCTCGAAGTAGAATAGAAGTATGTGTCGAATTCAGAATAGTACTTGTACGCATCCGGCTCTTCATTTTTTCTTCTGATCGATGAATTATGAAATTGAACCGAGAATATAATTTTAGTCTCGATCGAAATATTTTATTAATGATTAACAGAAAATAACTATTCGATAATGAATAACATATCAACTATATATTATTTTGACTGATCGTAGTATACCATATAGTAATTGAAAAACCGTAATAAGCAAGTATTCCAGAGAAAAAAACCACTCATGACATATCCATTTGTCTCTGTAGGAGATGATCCTATAGGTCAAATGACATTTTACTTCAGTGCTGATAATTGTGATAGATTTATTACAACAGTACATATATAAACGTATAATTAGATCAAGAAGATCGTGCTTTGTTGAATACTTTTATTAGATTTCGGATAATTAAATAACAAAAAAAAAAAGAAAATGATTAAATGCATCATTTTTCAAAGTTTCAATCATTAATATGACTAAAATATTTAATATAAATCTTTTTATAAATTATTCATAAAATAATGAAAAAAAATAATATGAAACCTCGACAAATAATCTTACATGGAATTATTATTTCATCAGGAAGAGTATTTATTACTAATAAATAATTCATAACTTTTTTTTTATTTTCTTTGTTTTTTTTTCCTAATAATGTTGTGCGTAGAAAAAGAAACTCATTAAATTTAAAAAATATTATTGTGAATAAAATTTGAATTATTTTTATCATTTAGGAAATAAATATTTTCTCTATCATGTAACTTCTTTCTATCGATAACACTACATATAATGAGAAATGCTATAATGATGACGAGAAATCAACGAGTCGCTCCGTCCCACCCCGCCTCGCGGTGGGGTGGAGTGGTGCACCACAAGATTTTGCAATTTCCTCGTCTCCTGACAATACTGTCATTTGTTTTAAGAAGACATTCAGACTCTAAAAACATCTCCTAATTTCCTCGTAAATGTTATTTTTGTACGCATTACTATTGGTGGAATGATCTTTCAGCAATATGCACATTAGAAAATATGTATATTTGCATTCTCGTCTAGACCGCTTGATTATTTGCATGTATACAATAGGTTATGAGACGCTTGTGATAAAAAGGTTTACTAATTTTATATAAAGCTTATGCATGTTATGTCAATGTCAAAGATAATCTTTTCTGAAAATTGGCTAAATTTTTTTAGAAAAGATGGTCCCTGAAAACACATTTTTAACCGAATTGGACGAAGCAATGGCCGGGTGACTTTTGGCTATTTTACGAATCTCTGACGATGACCATTCATCAATTCGTACATTTTGTTGCACAGTATGGAAGTTAAAACTATTTTCCAAAAAGTTTATACTTGAGAAAATACCGAAAAGTTAAAATAGTTATAACATAATTTATAACTATCAACCAAGACTGTAACTATTTCACCGTCGTTACAATTGGTAATCAATTGACTTTTTAATTCTTTGAGTAGATTAGATGAAGTTGAAAGAATAATTACTTTCATTTGATTGACATGTTTGATAGAATAAACGAAAAGAAACACATATTTACAATGTCCTTAGTTCAGAAAACTAACACTTATGAAATTTTCTGCAAGTGTTCTTTTATATAATTACTTATGTGCAAACAAAATGTTCTCTTATTTATGTGTCAAACGCAATTTTACATATAAGACAATTTATAGATGAATTTCGCAGTATAATCAATGGTAATCTCAAAATTGTGAGCAACTGAGAAGAATATATAAGAACTGAAACTATTCTCATCTAATTTTTATTTTTGTTAGATAGCAATCATCTTCAATATAGGCTGTAACAAAATTTAGATAATGTTGGTAGTTAATATAATTAAGTTTGTTTTGAATAAACACGAAATTTCTATATGAAATTGTTGTCTGTTCATTTTTATACATGCACAACTAGTATGGATATTATTCTGCTTTTTTTCTCGTTTTTCCTGGTTGATATATAGATGAGCGAAGAACGGAAACGAACGAATAAAGAAAGCAAAGCGGTAGAATCAAAGCGAAGAGCAAATTAACAAAAAGAAAAAAAATGTATCCGTTATCTTCTCATGAGTCAAAGAGAAATACATGTTACATCATTCAGAAGAGACAAGTAAATGATGATAGGTTGATGCCTATTGTGAATGTATCTTATTAATGAGCATGAATTTGTCTAATACTTTTAACTATTAGACTAAAATTAAGGGTAACATTAAAAAGTTATGTTAACTAGTTATTATAAATGAAACCGATTCTAAATAAAGTTCATGATAATAAATATGATCGAGAGTTATAACTATGATTGACAGTTGTGAATATATTTAATGGTTATAGACATTGCAACTATTGATCGATTTAGTCTATTATGAAACTTTCAAAAAGACGGGTTTAGTTCAAAACTATACATGCTTGACAACTAGAATTTCAAATACCAATGATTGTAATTTTCGAGTTTCATTCATAGCTGTTAACTTAGATAAAGAACCGTTGATGTATCAATACGAGAAAACTTTGTTTGCAGATAAATAATTACAAAAAAAAACAATACTTACAGAAGATTTCATAAATCCTGGTTTTTCTTAAATAAGGACGTTGCAAATACGTCTATTGTTCATCTGTTCTATCAAACATGTCAATCATATCAAAGTAATTACCATTTCAGCCTAATCCAATCTACTCGAAAAAGTTAATAAGTTAATTGAGTTCAAATAAGTGATAGTTATAACTACACTTGAAGGTTATAGCAATAGTTGATAATCATAATCTAATCATCTTTTTCATCGAAAAGTTAATCAGTTAGAACTCGACCAGTTTGATCTCCCATATTAATATATAGGACTGAAATTTTGACTTGTACTTTATAGTATTTGAAAATTAATTCAAAATATATTAGCAATAACAGTAACTGATATTTTAGCTGATGATATATTTTATTCAGTTAGTTTTGAGGTAAATGATAATGATTATGATAATAGTCATGCAATATCAATGATGTATCCCATGTTTTTCGTCAGTTACTTGATAATAACGGCATTACAACTTATACAGGACAATATAAATCGTAATTAAGAAAAATATTAAACTCTCATTCGCTCGTTTATAATGTGGAACTGAAGTAGTCACCCAGTTTGGAATCGAAAGTATCATAGAATACATTGTTAAAAAAAATCAAAGCTCTATAACGTAGACTAATTTTACTTGTTTACTTTGCCTTTCTGTTTTTTAAATTCATCGTTGACCTCTATAACTAAGAAAAGTAATTTTTGCTCGGTAGCCAATGGTTGTGGATATTCACATTCGTGACTGAATAACGGATGTTTATTATCAATATTTCATTTTCATGATAATTCCTTTCAGAATTATGAAAATGAAAACATTAAACCAATACTAAAACAATTTAATTAATGAAGCGAATTAGTTCTTAAGCAAGAAAAAAAATTTCTATTGATGAGCAAACGATATCAAATACTCGTACTTGAAAAAATCTTTACTTGCCTATTTCTGACTATATACATACTTATGTTGCCATTTTTTCTATCAAAAATCTTTTATCCCTTTTTTCGTGAGCGCTGATTTATATTTTATTATTTATTTGACTTTTTTACAACATAGATTTTAGATTGATTCCACATATCTTGCAACTCAGTTGTTCTCGTCCATTCTGCTTTCTTCCTCGTATTTGGTCAACATTACGATCCGTGCCGACGTGCTCATCGATATGGTTTTTTTTTTCTTAAGGTAATTAAACAAAAACAATAGAATGTCAACAGAAAAAGAAGATCTTGTAACAGGTAGCCCAAAATAAATGGTAATCTTAGTATTTTATTAATATGTTACGTATTTCTCGTTGTTTATATGACAAATTTCGTTTTTAAAAGATTCGTCAAGAGATTTCCTACAAAACTGTATAAAAAATTTCATATTATGAAAAGCAAAAGCAAAAGCAAAAGCTTTCAAAAACTTATACTTTCAAAGTATGAAAATAGAGATGGTCCAAAGAGGATCATTCATAATTTGAACAGGGCATTGGATCTTTTCATAATTGAACGGTTGTGTGAAATGAGGGTGGGTATGGGTCATCCTTTCATAAAAATTCATGCTATTTACTATTTATTGGCAATATATAGACGATCATAATCTATTTTTTAATTTATGCTTATCAAATTTGCTGAAACCGACGAATGTATGTTTTAATAATACAAACATTAAAATTGAAATAAATCGGAAAGACGACATAGTCGATAAGAATCAACTCTCATTTTCATATAACACCTTCTATTTGGCTTTAAAATGATTACTGAAATAGAGCCAAAATGAAGACTGACAGTAAGGTAATCATGCGCCCTAATGATTGGTAAAATCTAGAGTTTAGTATCTTAAATAGATGCTAAACAACTCGTAGACTTGTCTACAAGTGTTTTCTATTTATAAATTGTAGTTGATATCTGAAACCTTTGAATAAGTCGATATATAAGTAGAAAGGGATAGGCAGACTAGTCTTTAACATAAATATATGATGCTAACAGCGTTTGTCTCTAGAAAAAACGATTATTGAATAGGAAGATACTCACATCACGCGTATTTCTCTACTTAGTATAGTAGCATTATAAATGATTTCGGATGCTGAAATCCCAGTTTCTCTGAGCCCAATAAAATTGAAACTAGAATTTTTGATATGCGACATAGTACGTCCGAACAAGGATCATTAAAAACCTGTGTTCTTTAGTGGATATCGGATCAATAAGTTTAGGATCCAGTTCATCTTTCAACATACATCGACACCAAATTTTTCTGATAGGTTTATGGCTAGTTTCAGCAAAAATATCAATTATTTTCAAGTGTGATAGACTTGTTCTTAATTGATAAAACAGACCAATGATCGATAAAGAATAGTAAATTTTATTGTCTTCATTTTCTATGTTTCGAACATCTTGTCAACAGTTATCATTTCCTTTGACAAAAATGTTTTGTATCTTTGTAACATTTTTCAGTATCCATTTATTTTTTATATTCCTGTATGCGACATTCCATATTGTTAATTGAACCTGAAAATTCTGTTCAAAAATAGTAGAAGGAAAACCTCTCTAAAAGCCATTATCACAAGTTCGTCAAGCTCTATTGACTAAGGTAGATTTGGTTTAGATCTGCGATTAACAGATACATATATTTCCTCATCAATCTCTACATGTATCAAGAGGAGAATAAAATAATACTGAACAATTGAAGAACGAGCAAAAGAAACGAAAAAAAAAATTGTTTCATGATATCGACAAATGATAAATAGAATATTTTCAGGGTTAAAACTAGTGATGGGATCATCATGTTAATCAAATCTATGGAGATTGATAATCATATATGAGTTTCTTTTTTTCTGCGAAGTAATTTGAATTTTAAAATATACATCAAGAAACTATCATCAAAGGATATAAGCATATATTGTTAAGAATTTTTGTCATCAAAACAAACTATCGACTTCAATGGTGTAGCCAGTCATGGTTTTTTTCGCAATTTGTCCACTGATAAAACGTAGTTGCCTACGAATATCTTGTATTGGTGATAATGAGCCAATCGTTCAACAGCTATTGCTCACAGATTTAGACTACAGTTTTGACAGCTGTTCATAATTGTTTAATACTAAAAAAATTCCTAGTTGTGTCATTGATCAACTTCAAAACGTTGCAGCGGTTTAATCCTACATCGCTACAAAACTAATCAAGTTTGAAAATATTTGCCCTTTGTTCTATGCAAGAACGATAAATTTGGCAATGGTATTAAAACTACTGAAATATTCTGTATGTCTTGTCTTCGTATGTTATCGTATTTTTATTTAGTAAAACTTTGTTTTTGAAAGAAAAAAACGTTCATTGAAAATGAAATCAAAAGAAATGAAATAATCATAATTTAATTTATTGAACTTCATCAATTTTATTCTGTTTAAAGGAAAACAAGAGGGATAAAGCACGCATATGATAAAGTTCGATAATAAAACTGATAGCAGAAAAGCAAAAAAGAAAAAAAAGTGGGATTAGCCGACCAGCATCCCGCACTAATAACAGACAAAACAAACGAAATAAAAAGAAGAAGAAGAAGAAGAAGAAGCAAGGAGCCAATTTAGAATAACAAACCAACACAAAAAAAGAGAAAGAGAGAGATAGAGAGAGAAATTGTTGCCTAAGATAAAACTATTCTTTTAGATAGAACAAAGAAGAAAAAAAGAAAATTCTGTAAAACAGTGATCATTGTATTAAACTACTAGAGATATAAGCAGTATGATAAAGATATAAGAACTGGATTTTATAATTTGCATTTTTAATATTTTATTTACACAAAAAAAAGAAAAAAAATCAAAATCGCTTTTAAAATGTTTATTAAAGGTGGCTTGCATAATCAATTCCTTTTTTTTTCTCGTTCTTGTCAGATTTCTATAAACAAAAAAAAGAAACATTTATTATGCATAAGTAGTAATAAGATTTCATGCGAAGAATTAATATATTCATGCGAGAATAGAAGCAAATGCTTCTTCCCCCCGAAGAATTTTTCATTGATAAACATCACTTACAATCTGGCCATTCAATATCGCTAGATTAAAAAATAAATAAAATTTACTTTTGTTTACCTAACACTACATTATGTGCCTTTGTTTTTTTTTTATCTTGACTCATTGAAAATAAAATAAAATAAAACATTTCATCAATAACTTACTATGGTAAATTGCGTGATGATTCCGAACCGAAAACAATTTTTTGAGAATGTGATGCTCTTTCTTCACCTTGTTCATTAAATAATTTTGTCTCACATTCTGTACCCATGCCCCATGATTCAAGTTTATCATTAACAACTTGTGATGGTGGTCGATGATGAGCATTTTGTGCACTACGTGCATAAATTTTTAATTCATTACCATGTTTCATAATTAAACCATAAGGTATGGTATATGAAATTTCTGATGAACCTTCAACAGTTCTTTTTAATGTCCAATTAGACACATCAACATCTTTATCATTAGAAGTATTTTCTAATGTTATACATTTGCCATCAGGAGCACAATCCTCTACAATTAATAAAATAGAAATTTGGAAAAATATTTTAATAAAAAAAATATTCCAGATAGATATGATGTCGATATTTAAGCTTAATCATACCCGGTGATATTGTTGTTTTGTATGTTTCTATATTGAGAAACAAATTTGAATTTCTTACAATCATAATTATCTTGCCTAGTAGATCTTATCTTTAAGGTTTTATCCAGTGTGAGGGAAGCGCTTCTTCAAAGATTTGGTTGACTTTTTCGGAGTTAGTGGTTTTCCACTATGTACTATATGTCATTACTCTCAAAAAAAAAAGCAATATTCACCAATTCGCAAGAAGAAATCTGAATAAAAGTGAGCAAATTTCTATCATATTATGTATAATTCTGTGATTATATACAAAATCTATAAGAATGCTCTCGATTATGTTTTACTCATAAACATTTCTATATCAGTATGTATCAGAACGAAAAAATCAATATATGAAAATATTCGATTTATATTACACAAAAAAATACGTCTACGGGACTAGCTTTGACAAGAACACATTCTGAATATAAGTGTTACTTCTGACCATCTTACAGAACCCTATCGTAAGAAAATTAGAATTGTACTGAATTTCTTATGGTAAATGTTGGTCTCGTTATAATTCAATTGATCCTTTGAAGTATATTTATTCGAAAAGAATTTTTCGTTTGATTTTGTTCAAGAAAGAGAAACATTGATATAAATCAGAACAAGATTTAACACAACGAGGAATACGTACTGATAGCAATTGGTCCTTTTTTAATTTTTTTATTAAAAACTTTGCCAAGTTCGCTGCCAAATGATGCTGGCGTTGGTTCAGGTGATGAAACTACTTCAATTGTTTGTTGTGTAAGTCTATTTGTTTCACTATCTAATAACCGCCTGTAGATATTTATTTCCGATTCAAGTGTTATATTGCTAAAATAAAGGAAAATGTGTTTTAAAAAAAAACAATTTTGTTTTGTTTTCAGAAATAATTTACCTTCGTAAAATTGTATCGATTTCTTCAGTTAATTGTTCAATACGTTCTTGTGCAGCACCTAATTCTTTATTAACATTATCATGAGCAGCACTACGTTGACTACGTACAAAACTATATTCTTCTTCTAATTTAGCTAAACGATCTTGTAATTCTTTAAATTTATCCTTTTCACTAATTAATAATTTTTGTGTATCATTTAATTCAAATTTTGTTGATTTAATTTGTTCAGATATTTTTGAAAGATTATCTTGTCGTGGTTGTAATGGAAGTTTTTTGGCTTCATTTTGCATTTCATCTATTTTAATATGATAATAATCTTCCATTTCTTTACGTTGTGCTGCATTTAATGTTTCAAAATCACGACGAATATCACGTATAGCCTTTTCTAATTCTTGACGATAAAATAATTGTGCATCAATACCATTTGCTGGTTTTAATTGTTCAAATTCACTAAACAGAAAAACAAAATTATACTTGGATATTAACAAAGAATAATGATGATGTGTATATTTTTTTTTACCTAAGTAAATGTGCATGAATATCATTAAGAAAAGGAATTTCTTCTCGAAGTGTTTGAACTTCTAAATCTGATTTAATTCTATCAAGAGTTGATTTATAAGATTGTTCATTAAGTTGATTAATTTCATTAAGATAATCTTCACGTTGTTTAAGTAAAGTTTTTAATTGATCTTCAACTTGTTTATAAGATTTTTGTAAAGCAGATAATTCAGCACATGAATGTTCATATTCTAATTTTAATTGTTCACGTTTTCCTTCTTGTCGGTCATTCCATGATGTTTCATCATGAATTAATGAACGATAATTATCAATATTATAATGTGAACGACGTAAACGTGTTTGTAAATCAGCTTCATAAAGCATACAATCATTAACTTCTTGACGAAGACGATCAAGTGGTCCAGTATATTGAACAACTATTGCTTGAGATGCTGCACCCCATGCTTTTGCTATATCGTCAAGTTGACTTGTTAATGTTAAATTTTTACTTTCAAGAATTTTAACACGATCAAGATAACCACGGAATCGATCATTTAATTCTGCTAATTCTTGTTTTTCACGTTGATGTTGTACACGTAAATTATCAGTAACTTGAGTATTTGTTGATTGATTTAATGATGAATAAGATGAACTATTGCCTATTTCTTGTTGACCATATCGTTGTATAGGTGATTGATTACGAGTCCCTGTTTCAACAGATACAGAACGTATTGATGTTTTCATCGGATCACCAACACCGGACAACATTGGACTATGTGTTATTATCGATGGAACACTTTTTATTGGGCTATTTGATGATAAAATATCAGCAGTGTTATTAATCGATGTATCAAATTGGGACACTCCCGTTGATGATGATGACGTTAGCTAAAATAAGAATGAGTAAAATTAATAAAAAAACATGACGAGACGAGACGCCTTAAAAGTTTCACCGTCGTTATCGTTCATCAATAAACAGAAAATGTTCAAAACGATAATAGGCTTATAATTGATATTTTCTATATATATATAGATTTGGATGAGAAAGACGAAAGAACAGCAAAAGTTTAAATCTCTTCATCAGTGCTTAGACAGATTCTTAATATGCACGCACAGTAGATGAGAAAAAAAAATGAGAATGTGACAAAGATCATTTCAGAATACTAATATTATATAGGGCACCAGAAATAGGAATAGCTTCATGAGAAATGAACATGCAAAAACAACAAAGAGAAAAGAAAAAGACACCTGAGTATATATAATGTCATGATTGATTTCTAATTCAATACGAACCTACATTATCAGAGCGACAGCAACCACAACAGAGATGAGTGGATTCTAAAGTTAAACATTCATTTATTTCTTCTTTTTCTGCCGCTTGGCATCGTCCTGTGTTGTTTTTTTTCTCTTATCTGTATAATAATCAGGACCGTTGTCTCTGATTTTTCCCTTTCTCTAACAATTGATGTCTGTCTCTATATATGTCTGATTGTTTGACATCCTACATCTATCAAATAACCCCTGAAGCACAGGTGATTTGCAATGTGTGTATAATGAGCAAAGATCTTTAATCTATCCTGAATATACACACATGAGGAAATCATAATTGTAATTATTACTCAACTCAGAAATAAAATTATTAAAAATAAAGAAATGCAAAATAAAACTTAAAAGTCACAGTTGAAATCACAAAATTATTCTTTGGCTTCCAAAAAGTAAAAAATACGAAGACGAAAAATTAATCATGTAAATATTAGCTATTCGACATGTTATTTTTGATCTAATCAAAACAATTGACATATTATTTTAAGCAAAAAAAAAGAAAGAATGTGAAAAATCTACCTGATTATTAACATTTGCCTCTATTTGTTTTTTATATTCTTGTTCTGTCTCGATAGTTGATAATGTAATCAAAGGCAAAGATGATGAAGACCAATCATTCCTTCCATTTATATCAAGATCATCATCATCCGCCATTGTTGCTTTTTTCTTTTTCTTTTTCAATATTCACTGTCTTATTGTCCAAGAAAGAAAAAAAAAGACGAAATTGAGAAGATTGTTGTTGTGTGGTTTGATTTCAATAAATGATTGAAATAGAAGAATTTCTCTTTTTCTATAACAATCAAGATGCGTGGCAACAAGCCACATTGTTCACCTATTTTGATTGCTTCTTTTTCTTCTGATCGTTTCGCTTATTCACTATTCCAAGGACAAACGTCATACGAACAACATAGAAAGAAACCTATCGATTCAAGAGTTGCCCATTTATTAACAGAAGGTCGTCAGCTGGATTTTATATGTTTACTTCTACTAGCTAAAGACTTCGCTTGATGTTATTATTTCTGCTATGTTAATCAAATTTCCATGTGCATATATTTGAGAGGGAATATTATGACTACTTTAAGTACCACATTCTAATAGAAATCTCTTACATATGAGAATATATCTGCAAAGAAAAAAAAATCTACCTGAATAATGTTTTCTGTTATTGTTCATCGTCAATGTATGGTAAAGAACAGAAGACAAAAGGTTGTCTTGTTCGGTGACGACTAATTGAATGAAATCTATTTGATTTGGTGTTACTTAGACGTACATAGCTTGTCTATCTGTCCATTTTAGTCTGATGGATGATCCTTACGACAACACCTATACTTTACGTTCACCCACCCATCATTTTTTTTCTTTTCTCTATCTCATTAAATTCAATCGTTTTGAACTTTGGAACAATACTTTTGTCAAGTTTAATTTCATTTGTTCAACAAGAAAATATTAACGAAAAAGGACAAGAAAATTGCTAGGAATATAGGATAGACCTTAAGTCAATTTTTTTTTTTCGAAGAGCTTAGAAATACTTTACTTACTTGTTCGTGTGTTACTATTGTTCGTTGTATTAATTGAAAATAGACAGACTGCAAGACTTTTCTACGTTATTTCTTGTCTTGTTTATTTTTTTTTAATACACTGTCAAGGTGAAGTTCTGTATGTCTTTTATACTATTGTTTTATATCATACTTCGTTTGTGTCAATAAAAAAAGAAAGGAGAGAAGAGAGAAAAATTGTGGTCGTTATAAGAGCAAACCGCATCATACACCGGCACCGAGAAAGAATGCCATCTAATTATTTTGTTATTTGAAGAAAAATCAACTTGTTTCTTATTTTTTTGCATATTATAACATTCAAAGGATAACAGTTTTTTTTTTAAAATGTACTTTACTTCTCTTGTTTGTTCAGATGTGCATAAAATCAAAGATAAATATAAGATTATGTATGAGTCTCGAAAAATGTTCTCTCTCGTACGTTCTCTCCGAATGGTAAACATATGCTTTTGACATCTGTGTAGAGTCAAGCGTTAGGTAAATGAAAATTAAATTTGATTTCGATAAGTAAATATCTCGTTTTTTATTTCACTACATAGTTACATTCTGTCAATGATGGCAGTAACCTCAATCTCAAAGTTAATTACAACAGAACAAACAAAAGTGTAGCATCAATTTTTACAAGGTTGTTTCAAAAAAAAAAAAAAAGAATATAACCGACTGTTGTGTCAGTTTTATTTTATAAGACTCACCATCGGTGACGGCACGCTTGCTTCAATACAGCTCAAATTTCAAATAGCAATCGTACCAGAAAGACGCTTATCACAATGTTCGTTTTTTTTTTGCAATCGTACACAGTTGTGTGTATGTCACCATCATACAAAGTATATGGCCTTCTTTTTTCTTCTTTTTTTTCTCTCGTTTGCTCATCCCACAATGATCAGTATCAATACTTCATATAACGGGTTTCTCTTCAATTTTGATATTGACCTTCAATCAAGTAACTCATCATGCTCATTCATATATACATATTTCGATCTAGATACACATTCATATCCTATCATATCATCGTATATTGGTCACCATCGTCAATGAGTATCACAATCTAATCAGTGAAGAGTGACATTCGATAACACCCTTTTTTATTAGTAATTATTATTTACTACAAGATTTCAAAGTAATCAATGGTATTTTTCGATGAAAAAAAAAAGTAACAAGCACTATTTTGAGCTTTGAATACCTATATACATATATATATATATATGTGTGTGTGTATCCCCTAGTCATCATCATCTCTTTTATATGCGTCAATGGATTGTATGTTAAAGTCCAATTTTCTCGGTCACTACATGTCGTCTTACGCTCGATTCATTTCTTTTTTTTTTACCCTCTTGTCTATTGCTTAGAGCAAATATTTCGACTTTGAACAATAATATTTCTCTTAAATATACAAAAACGTATAATCCTATCGCCAATTACATATCAAAAGATTTTACGCAACAACACATCATCAATAGTACTACTACTTCAATTGCCGACATAAAAGGACCCAATAAATATGTAAAGGAAAAAAACGAGGGCGCGTTCATGTGTACGCTGAGTGACATGCATAGATCATCATCACATTCGATATGCATACACCTTCTTCATCTTCTTTTTGTTCGTTATAAAATCTCATTAAAAACTCTTAAGAATTGGAAAGAAAATGAGAAATTGTACATCAAACATGAATGTTATTTATATATGAAAGCGAAACACGAGAAAATTAAAGTTCTATCCCAAGAGTTTCCATATTGATTGATGTCGGCAATATTGTATGAAGTGGAAAACAAAGTAAACTGTTCTATTGATTAAATCTTTATGAATATAAAGATTCGAAAATAATAATAGAAACCTTTTCGTTGTCATTTTGTATATGTACAAAATGTGTGAAGACATAGAAATATTAATTAATGCAAAGCCTGATGTTTACGAAAAATGATATAATAAACCCAGATTCAATTACAGATAAAACTCAGAACTATTCATCACTGACATCAATATATTCATTCGAAAAGATTAGTATCTTGTTAAAAAACAATAGCATGAGCTTTAACCTATGTGATTTAGCAAAAAATGGGAAAAAGAAATTGAAGACCACTTAAATGCACTTTTACTCTTAAGAAATAATACATTTCGCGCCTGTGGCATGTCAATTGAGATAAAACAACACGTCAATCATTTATCATCATAAGCGAAGTAAACTATTTCGTGTGTGTATCTCAAAAAAAGAAAACTCAGTCAAGCTGAACTAAATATGAGTTTACCCGTTCATACGTATAAACATACAAGAAAAGATCAAAAGAGGAATCAATAAAACTGTTTTATATCAGATCAAGATGAATAGCGAACAAATGAGCCGCATGTAATTCTTTTTTTTTCCAAAGAAAACTTACATTTTCCAATTGAAGAGGAGGAGTGTTTAATTTTGGTGCAACTACTATTTGTTCAATATCATTTGTTTGAAATGTATTGATTAATTTTGATACAGTTGCTGATGACAAATTTACATTATTATTTATTGCTGGTGGAATTTGTATTTCAAGTGGTTCAACAGAACTTTTTGGTGATGATTGATGTTTAAATGTAGATGTTGTTGCTGAATCTAAATAAAAGATTTATTGATTAAAATTAGAAATAAAGAAAAAAAAAAGATTTTCTTTTTATTACTATTATCTTTTTTATTTTTTTTTCCATTAGTGATTTGTTCTTCAAGAGGATTTATTTCATCTTGTATTGATGATTTATCAATTTTAAGTAAATTTTGTATTTGTTTTTTTAATGATGATTTTTTTGATTTTGTTTTAGATGCTTTTATTTCATTGATTGATTGTGTATCAGATGTTTCTATTGATGATGTTGATGATATATGTTTATGATCACCAATAGAAAAACTTGATGATGTTAAAGATTTCTTTTTTGTATTACCATTTTTTATTATTTGATTATCATTATTATTAGCAACAGCTTCAAATACTTTAACACGATCTGTAACACGTTTTTCTTCAGGTATAATAACACCACTTATTGGACTTGATTCACGTTGATGATTTGTTGATATATTTGTACTTGTTGAATGTAATTCATCATCACCATTTGTTTTCTCAATTTCTATATATGTTATTTCTGATGATAGGCCACTATCAATACTATGATCGATATGTGATAGTGATGATATACTATTTTGTTCATCAAGTGTTTCATGGCCATTTTTAGTTTCATTAGAAATTTTAACTTGAAGAGATTTTGATAATGATTGACCATTTATAATATCAATTGATGTTGGTTTTATAATTAATGTATCAGCTTGATTTATTTCATCAGACATAGTTGTTGGTGTACTTGTAAAACCGGTTACCAAAGCACCAAGTGTAAGAAATGATTGTGTTTTTAATGGTTGCTTAGATATATTGTTATTGTTCTGATTTTTATTGTTTGATGAACCGCGTTCACGTTTTGTATTTACCTTGAAATGAAATAAACTCGTTTTTTGTACGTGTTCAAAAGAAAAACAGAAAAGGATTTCTTTTTCTTTTCTTTTCTTTTTTTATCGAACTGCTTATGTTTCTTGATGGCCACTTACTTCTATGTTAGCAATTATGCACACTGACCATATATCGTCGTTTTTCTTCGTATTCTCTTTTTTCTATGTCCTCGAGAGACAGAGAGAACATTCTTTTTTTTTTTTGTTCTTTGTATATGAAATGTTTCGTCAAATCATATGAAAGACAATGTGCGAGAGAGAAAAAGAGAATTGTTCAAACGCGAAAAATCATTCTTCGTCTTCTTCTTCTTCATTTATGCGTTAGTGTACACAGATGATTCTGATTATTGAAGATAAATTTTGCTACTTCTCGTTCACATCATGATCGTGAAAAGCAAGTCTTATTTACATTCATCTGTTGTACAAGCACAAAGTAATTAGACGAGCCCATACATTGCTTCTTGAACCGATGTGTGATGTGTCTAAGACAACTACTAATACTAGACTGGATTGACCCATCGTATAACAACATTTATTTACGGATAGATGAAATCAAAATAAATAGAACACATCTCAAAATGACTTACGACTTTGCTTTTATGCATGATGTTTGGTATTTTCAGTCGGCTTCTTTTTTCGGTTTGTTATGCTTGTTGCTGTTGAATTGAAATGAAAAGAGAAAAAATGGTTGGTATGAGTGTATACGTGCGAATTCACTCCCTTCTTCCCACTCGTACTCACTTAACTAGCGATAGGGATATGCGACGTGACAAACGGTCAAGAATTTAGTCAACAGAAAGTGTAAATGTATATATATATGTATGCAGATATATATATATATTTAAAAGAAAGAAAAAGAGGAAGAAATACGATCGATACAAATATGATGGAGGAATTAAACTAAATCTTCAACTGCCAAGGCAACTATAAATACACACATATACGAGTTCAATTATATTTTGACTGTTCTTTCTGTGGCTATCCTAATACACAATAGTACATATCAGGAGAGAAAGAGAAAGAAGCTTGATGATAGAAGATATTCGTTACCGGATGTACATACAAATTTTCTCCTTAACTGAACATGCATTTCTTTTTTTTTCTTCCATTCATGATCAATTTGAACAAACGATGAATATAGGTATAGACAGATATGGTATATTTTATCTATGCAATGTATCAAAATTAACAATAGAAATTAGTATGAAACGAAATCTGGATGAGAAAGATATCATCTTGAATAAAGTATAATATCATTGTGTACCTATCAAATAGGTGCAGTTCAAAGACGAATTTTTATACTAAACAATAATTTATATAGAATTAATGAATATATAAAAATTTGCCTCAAATATTCATATAATAATATGTTCAGAATGTATTATTTACCATTCTAATCAATATATTTGGAAGATACGACTGGTATTTATCTCTACATATTTGTTCATAGACATCGTCTACTATGAGAAGAGAACATATATTTTCTATTCGTAATAAGCAAACATTGTTTTATTGACATCAACAACAATACAAATATCAACTTTGTTCTCCGGCACAATTTGCTTACTCAGTAGATCGATAATGAATGACGTTTATATTCTTTTTTTTCTTCTTGTTTAAACGCTGACCGAGGGTCAACAATGTTTGTTGGTCTCTGCACTGCTGTTTTTAATTGACTCTATTCGGTCATCAATCTTCTTCTGTTCTTTATGATACATCAGTTGTTTTGAACAAGAAGAAGACATTCTTTGAAAAAGAACGCAAAGAAAAAAATAGAGAAAGAAAAATACTATATAAATTCTCAACATATTTCTCTTGTGTATTTCGTTCTTGTGTGAGTCCTATGGCGTGTCCATTACCAATGGCATTTTTGCATATCTACCTGATATTAAAAGTAATTTTCTTTTGAGACTTTTATTCTTCATTTCATCATAATCATTAATGAATTTCCGATTATATATAAACTTATTCTGTAACTATAAATGATTATTTTTTTCTGTTTACAAAAGTAAAACAAATCTCTAATCGACATTAAAATATCATTTACACACATTATTTAATTAATATTATTATTCTAATCAATTTCGATGTAAACAACAGAAGAATAAGAAAATGGATTTATTTTTAAAACAAATGCTCATTCATATTGTGTCCATTTTGACATAATTACTATTGTAATTAGGGTAGTAACAGAAGATCATATTTATACAATTGTTGATAATGTCGATATATACATTCTTCGATAATGACTTTATTTATGTTTTAAGGCTATATTCAATTAATGACAAATGAGTTCATTATGTAGAAGACAAATATGTATGATCTTATCAAAATTTTAAAAGCTTGAAAATTACTTTCTAAATGATAGATTAACAAAATCGTGTTGTTTGTTTTTTTTTCGAAAAGAAAAACACAATATACACGATACTCTACTAATGGATGATAGGAAAAAGGAAACAAAAGGGAGGAAAAAAAAGCTGTTTATCATCCAGATGTTGTTCAACTACAGAATGGCCGATATTCAATAGGTACGTCTTCTGGTCGACGAACTAAAATATATAGCAGAAAAAAAACCCGTCAAGTCTTAAATCAAGAATAACAAAATTTCAATAACGAACCCATAAGTCGTCGTTTATAGACATTAAATTGATAAGCATTTGCTTTATAAATTTCTTTACTCATAATAATTACCATGACTAAAAGACATGAATTTTTTTGTTTATTTTTTCAAAGATTAAAAACTTACACGCTGCTGCAAAAGGAATACCCAAAACTACATGTGGAATATGTTCCATTGCATAATTAACAACTGAACGACCCTATATTATAGTTTAAAAAAAAAAAAGTTAAAAAAGAAGAAATACAAATACAATTACTTACTTGTGTAAGCCATGGTTGCCATATTTGTTTACGATGCATTAATACAACACGATTATATAGACGCATAGTTTCTTGTTTAATAAAAAGTTAATCTAAAATGGAAGAAAAATACATAAAATAATATTTTAATATCATTTTTATATAGATGAGAAAATATAAAATTTTGTTATATTATGCTTTTTGTGTTTCTTTTACAACTGACAATCAATTTTATAGGTACCAATACGACCGACACCTTCAATTAATAGACAATCTTTATAAACATGTGCTGTTGCAAATGAGTTTGTATTTGGATCACATTCTACTACTGCTTGTAATGTTAAATGATGAATATTTTTTCGATCACGAAAATAACCACCATCATGATCATGACCAGCAATATAAGCAAGAACAGTACCATCAAATATCCATAAAAGATCTAATACTTCCTTATAATTCCATAATAGATCAAGATGATCACATGCGCTCGGATGAATTGGAATATGACCTTAAACATGAAAAAGAAAAATTGAATTCTTTAGGGTATGTGGGTATGGGTTAATCTGCAAAATATTGTAAATCAAAGGATTCTGTAACACATGCTTCAGTTAAGGACTTTCAGCGTACTGATATGTCCGTGATGAAAGATGTTATTCGTTATATGTTACAGTAGATTCTGAAAGGGAGTCAAAGACATATATCCTACATTGAATCTACTTTCATGGTAATCCTACGAAGATTTTAGTTCCGTAGTTAACGAGAAAAATCCTCCAACTAATAAATCTCTTTTGAGTTGAAACTACGCGCATTATATAGAACTAAATGATTTATGAATACGTTGAAAATAGTTCTAGCCTTTAGCTTATTACTGCCGAGATACTGTACTTTTACGATAGTTTTTTAATAAATACTGTAGTCCTCGTCAAGAATACCAGAAAAAAACTGATGTTAGAATTTCGACTAGAAACTTTACACATAGACAAACCTTAATGAGAATAGTTTCAGATCTTGCCGTTTTTTCCTCTCTTAAGATGTAGCTATGAAAAAAAGGCGTGTCTTTAACATTGCTAATATATAAAGGCAAATTCAGTGTTCTTATTCCGGGACGAAAGCAAATCAAGAAACTTAGAAGTTTTCACAATAAATTCATTTCATTGTAAGTCTTATCTCTGTACAAAGTTTCAAGTCAAAATTTGACAATCAGTTTCGCTGGTGTTTCTGAGAGGAGGACAACAGCATTCATTCTAAAAATTACCGTAAATTTCAGTAATCTACCTAACAATAAACTAAGGAATTGAACTATTTCAAGGATATTCAAAATTCATTTGGATGTGCATGACACACATATTTCCAAGTCAAAAGCGATTTATCGGTTGAAGGACTTCTCTCTTAAGTCTGTTAGAAACTGTGAAGAACAAGAGCGTTACTAAGATGTCTCGTCACGATCTGTGACGTTTTATGACGATATCTGTCACTGTTAGACTCTAATGAGTTGTTCCCGAACCCAATCGGTTCGAGTGATAGGGTTCAGATCTGAAACTTTTCTGTTAATGAAATCTGGGTCCGTACATTTTTGACCGGAACGGGTTGTAGCTGCGGTCTGCGTAGGGAAAATGGATGCAAATTTCTATCCTTATGTTTCAACACTCATTTTGAGACCGCGTTTCACAAAAACTAAAACCCTCATAATTGAAACTCTTAGCAGTCGCTTCGTTCGTTCCTACATGTAATAGATTTATTGAAGTTTAGATATTAATTGTAATTCTAATAAAAATAAGTCATATATTACCGATAACAATAACTTTTTCATTACGATTTTTAGCTTCAGTTAATTGTTCTTTTAGCCAATCCATTTGTTTTGATGTTATTCCACCATTAAATTGTACAAATCTTCGTTGATGTCCACGTAAACTAGTTGGATCATTCATACTTTCATTCTGATTGTGTTTTCTTAATAATTCTAGTGCTTGAATATATACTTCACTATCATTTGCTACACCTAATGCACTGAATTCATATGTATCAAGTGCAATAATTCTTAAATTAGGGCATACTTCAAATGTTCCATAATGTGCTGGAGACATATTTTTTGTATCAAATGAGCATAATGGTCCGTTTAATAATTCTTCTCGTGTAAAATTATATAATTCATGATTACCCCATAAATGATAAATAGGTAAAGATTTAAATTTCTTTGTAAATTGTCCTAATATTACATTTAAATCATTTACTGATGTTTTATTTGTAGAACTAACTCCATCAATAAGATCTCCAAGTTGAAGTATAAATGATATTGGATATTTTCCATTTAACCAATAATTACATGCTTCATCAACTAAGTTTGTCGAATTTCTATAACGTCTTAAATGTGTTTTTACATAATTCCATCGATCATCATGATCAGAATAATGGATATCTGTTATTAAACCAAAAGAAAGAATAGGTACAATTGTTTCATTTCGATCAAATGTTGATTGATGAAAATCTGGATCAGGTGCAGCAAACATTGATGACGTTGGTGGACTAGTAGATGATTCATCCTCAAAGATGGCTTCTGTAGTCATCTAGAAAAAGAAGAAAAGTTAAATATTCATCGACCATGCAAAAAGAAGAAAAAAAAAAGACTTGCTTTCCTTTATTTATTTTATTGTTTTAAAGAAAAAAAATACAAGTAACTATATTCGTATGAAAAAAATGTATGTTAGAATTAATGTACACTTAGAAAAAAAAATCTTTCTTTGGCTTTTCAAATTGATTAAGAAACGATTTTATATCAGTTTCATATTATACAGAGAAAAAAAAACGAGATTCCAGAAATAATTATTAGCAAGATGGTACAAAGCTCGCTTAAGAGTATCAGTTAGAACTAAAAAAAAAGAGAAAGAAAGAAGAGTTTTATCGTTTGGTTTTCTTTCACGGAAGATTAGTAAAAACAATAAATGTCAGGAAGATAAATAATTTCACATAAATGGATTGTTTGTATTAATTGTTGAAGTAGTCGTATTGAATGATGAAGGAATGAGCGGTGGTGGTAATGGTGAACCACTAGTAAAACCAGCATTATTTGATGAACTTAATTGCTCAAGTGTTGGTGGTTTCATTAAGTTAGTAAATGGATTCTGAGCACGTGTAGCAGTTGAGCCAAATGGATTTGTAGCTGAAAATAAAAACAAACGAATAGATGAATGTGAAGAAAGGACAGGGACAGTGCATAAGTCTTTTTTCGGTCATTATCAGTTTTCTCCAAATTATGATTTGCCTAATAAAAAATTTGATCGAGAAATATTTTTGTAACAAAATAAAGCCATTTATGAAGGGTTCGGATCCACTTTTGCTCAAACCATTGATATTCACTTTTGCACCATAAATGTATCGAGAAGAAAACAGTATACTTGATGAGACTTCAACACATATTAAAACCGATTAGCACAATATCTGCGATTTTAAAATGTGAAACACAATGTAGCTGTTGTTTCTAATCACAGGGAGATTGTTTTATTCTGTCTATTTTAAGATCCATTTGTGCATCAATTTTTTACTTGATCCTCCAGATGTACAATAAGAAAATAGTTCATATATTAGAACGAGACATTATGGATCTACGATTACAGATCGTATATCAACAAAGTTTGTCACGGTCTGTAGTGTTTTGTTGCTAAGATGTTTGTCGTGTCTGCATGGAAGGAGAGCTGGAGGCTTCTAAATTCTATCTTATACTATAACACTTCTTTTAGATAGTGTCTCATAAATGCTATAGCTTAAAGAACAAAAGACTTCGTAAGATTTCATGTAACTATGATTAACTTCAAGGCTGAAATCTTGGCTATTTCCCCCTCGGAATGGACAGTTTTCTTAAATAAATCATTTGAAATTGAAAATAATTAGAACCGGCTATTCATTCTATAGTGTATCTTTTGACGCCGAAATTGATCGAAATAAGTATGAGAATTATTTAGTTGTTTGGTTAATTCTGGTCACTATTTTAGCAATAGCTTGAGAAAGGATAAAAGCAACATGAACTTTCGATTGATTGTGAACACTCGAAAAATGGATGTCAAAACGAAATATTTTTTAGTTTTCTTAGAGGTGGTCTTTAGTAAGTAATTTTCGTTTGGACGCCATTTCTTGAATTTTTGATTGATATTTAACAGATTTCAATCAGAAAAACTATAAATTATATGTTTTTCAAAGTTTTCTATTGTACTTTCTTTTTCCTCGAAAAAATTAGTCGAGGTTCCTCAGGAATCAGCCAAAAATTGGATTTAATTAGAAAATCTTTTCAACAGTGAAAAGCATATTTTGCACTTGTAAAATGTTATCAGGACACAAAAAATCAAATAGATGAACAATAAAAATGATATTTTTCTTGAATTTATTTTTTTTTGACTGAGCCCTGAAAAGTCTTAGCGAAATTTTTTTTGAGGAAAAAAGTACGAAGACAAACTTTGAAACATGTATAATTTGTCATTTTTCTGATTGAAGTCTATTGAATATCAATCAAAAATTCAAGAAATGGCGTCTAAGCTGAAATTACTTAATAATAAAAACCAACAAGTACATCGTTTTGAAGCTCTTTTTCGAGTGTTCAGAATCAATTAAAACTTTATGGTGTTTTTTTCTTTATCAAGCTATTGCAAAAATAGTGAGCAAAAATAATCAAACCCTTAAATGATCTTCATACTCATTCTTAGCAACTCTAATATCATTGCTCAGCAGAACTTCAACCATTCAAGTTGAAACTTTCATCAAAGATACACTGTAGGATGGTTACTCATTTCTGCTACTTCCAGCGCAAAAATGGGTCTAGACTATTTGAAAATAGTTGTATGTTTTTAATAGACGATTCTTTGCAAAATTATGCATTCAGTAAATTCTAAATCAACCAAAACTAAAGATAATCAAATAATGACTCTTATATGCCCATCCTATTTTTACGTTACTTTTTGTCTCTGTAACCAATTTGTCGAGATTAACTAAATTACTAAAGTTTTCATCAAGAAAACTTTCAGGTGTTTTACGAGATGCTGATATTGCTGATGGAAGTGGACTTGTATTATTGGAATTGAAATTATTTCCACTAGTAATTGTTGGATAAAGTAAACCAGGGCCAACATTAAAACTAGTATTCGGAGGTGATATTGAACCTGAATTATTAGGTATCACTGGAAAATTTGATGATGGCATATTCCATGGGTTTGATGATGTCTGCTGTTGATGATTGTTAGATGTTGAAATAGCTATGAGAAATATAAATATATGTTTATATGTATGCTGTAAGACATAAGAAATTTTACTTGCACTAGCACCAAAAAATTCACTTAATTCATTATCGATTGCTTTAGACGTAGTTGTTGTTGAAGGTAAAGTTGTTGTTGCTGCTATTGTTTGAGAATCATTTACACCAAGACCCCAAGGATCACCAATATTAAGAGAAAGACCCGCATTATTATTGGTCGTTGTAGGCTTCGCTTCAGTCCATGGATTAGCTTGTGCAGTCGATAAAGGTGCAGCTATTTGCCATGGATCATTTGTTGTTGTTGTTGTCATTATAGAATTGTGACCACTTGGTTCTGATGACCATGGATCATCTATAAGAAAAGAAAAAAAAAATAATCAAACTAAATATTTAATTAGAGAACAAAAGTCAATGTTTATACTTGTAACAGTGGTAAAACCAAGATGACTTGATGGTCGAACATTTGGCAGATTCCAACCGATATTAGATGTTGTTGTTGATGGTAAATATGGATCATTATGTTCATGACTTGTATCAAATGGAGATGAATCAAGAGGATGAGACTTCGAGTAAAAGTCAAAACTCTAAAGTGATAAAACAAAAAATGACTTATGTTTTATCTCTCAATCGGTTCAAGCAAAAAGGTCAACTGTTGCTTAATTTTATTTTCAATCTATCGCAAAACATGGCTTGTTGACTTAAATCCTACCAAAATAGTTTATCAAATTTCAAGATCTATAATTGACATAAACGATCTAACACTGTTCTTTTTATGAAAGTTGTCGTTTAATGCGTGTTAAAAAATTTTCGACATGCTACACATGAATTTAATACCCGAACTTCTTATGGAACTGTATTTTGACCAATATTTGATCTCGATCTTCTCCTATGTTTAAAATCTTATATAAACATAAACAACAAATTGCTATTCAATTGTGTTGACAATTCTTTTTTTTTTGATAGTTTTATTCTTCATTGTTTTTTCTTTTTGGATTTTTCCATTTTATTACTCCACAACAGAAAATTGTTAATAAAGCTTGTCGTTATAATTTAAAACTTTTATATACTTCAGCTGATATGGCCGATCTAGATATGGACAAGATAGTTCCGCCTCGACAGAACCGGGACCGAAAATGGCTGATCCCGCTCATTTCGTTTTTTTCTATTGCTAGTGAATATGCTCTACTCAATCGTTCAGATCTTTAGTGAAAACGTTTTGAAGAAGTTCTTATGACTATTGTAGATACGTTGAGTTTAGTTCATCAATTGACCTTCTATTGGTCTGTTAGAAGCGATATGCTTTTAATAACTCGTTAGATTGCGGACCAAGCATGTGAATTTACATAAGATTCGATCATTTTATTGTTCTTTATTTACTTTCTATGTTCGCGAGTGGAACTATCTTACGTATGATATTATACTATTTTTCATCTATTTGCCCTTTTCTTCTGTTAATTCTATGTGATGCATTTTTCTTTTCTATCTCTTCACTGAACAAGAATAAGACTCAGTATAACGAAAGCATATAATAACAAACAATTTCCTTTAATAATTTCAGAAAAAACTTCTTTACTTGAGAATTAGATGCATCTGGTGATGTTTCATTAACTGATCGTTCTAATGCAATTTTAAGTTTTAAATTATCATTACGACGACGACGTTCTTCATCTTCAGCCTAGAAAAATAAAACTATGATAAATTTTCTCTTCGCCTCATTTAAACTTACTTCACGTTGTGACTCAGCTAATGCAATTTGCATTTGCAATTGTTCTTCTTCTTGATTGGTTGGTTGAACAAAATCTTTACCTGTAGCTGCATAAAGATTTCCACTAAGTGATGATGAACGCTGTGCAGTTGAGCTTGCTGTATAAAGATTTGGCTGAGATGGTGTTGCACTATAATGATCTCCACCTTCAGCACTATTACGTCGTGCTGTTGTCGGATTTCCCGGACGGCCATATGTAACAGCACCACTTGAATCCATTCCCATAGCTTGACGTGCATAACGTTCACGAGCTTCTTGTGCTTTTCGACGTTCATTACGTAAACGTTCATCATCTTTAAGTAGAGCAACTAATTGTTTAGCTTTTTCACGTACATTAAAACCTTGATCTTTTTGATCTTCGATATATTGAAAATCTTTTAATGTTTGTATAGCAAAAATATTTTCTTTACATTGTTGACTAACACGTTCATTTCCATATTTTATTAAATGATCAAGTAAAACAAGGGATTTATAAACATGACGCCAATTTTTACCATGATCATTTAAACGTTTCCATATAACTAAAAATAAAATATTTTAATTCAAAATCAAAACTTAAATCAATTTCAATCTTGTATCTTTTTCAAATCAAATTCCTTGCCGAGTATATAATATCGAACTGAGAGGAAGATGTCATGAGTGGATTGTTGTGCAGATTCATCAGTTAGTCTTCATTTTGACTCTACCACGGCTGACTTAAAACTTGATATTATCTATCTTCTATATAGTCATGATATGCAGTGTTCATCTTAAAAAATTTTCTTCCGCTTTCAACAGTTTACTCGCATATAGAGTATAAAGGTATTTTTATGGGAAAGATTTCTGTTCTATGATGATATGAAAGCAGCGATTCACGTTGAATTACATACTATTCGATAGCTCTTCTGAAGTTCTATGAAATGCTGCTATTACACTGAGCTTTCCGTATGACTAAAACACTTCAGTCAAACGCACACTGCTCGACAGTACAAAAAATTGCTCTTTTTCATGTATACTTGACCAGTTTTTACCTCAATAGTCATATTTTCTATTAGAAAAGATGATATATTTGGAATCACCGTAAAAACTGAGTCGGTCAATGTCTGTCACAAAATGGTCTATCCACTTTCATTTTCCTTTAAATATTCAGCCGTAGTCCATTTCAGAAAGACAACAAAAACTAAATTAAGTCGAAACATCCATCTAACTATGAAATATACCGTTGAAAATTTTTAAAAAACTTGAAAACCCAAAATCATAGCTAGATAAATGATAAAAATTAAGTTTCGACTGGATTTTTTTTTTGGCGCATTCCCCAAGAGACCAGGATTGTGCTCTTCAAGGAAAATGAAGGTTGATAGATCATTGTGTGATAGACACTGATCGAGTGAGCTTTTTCATGTTGATTTGAAATATATCATTTGTTTTGATAGAAAGCCTAACTATAGAGGCCAAAACTAGTCAAATATCAGTCAGAAAAAAAAAGCAACTTTTGGTTTGTTCGAACAGTATGCGTTTGACTGAAGCATTTAAAGCACAAGTTAAGCTCGGTGTAATAACAGTATTTGGTAAAACTTCAAAAGAGCTGTTGAACAATATGTAATTCAAAGTGCATCTCTGATCTTATAGCATCATAAGAGAAAAAATTTGGAATGGATACATTAATCCTGTACATACAACTGAACAATTCCATCTAAAGAAAAAAAGTAAAGAAAGATATTGTGTTATGTTCCTATATGCTATTTAATAGCAGAAAGAATGAGCTTCAATTTGATATAACTCAAACTGAAAGTGTTGAAAGTGGGCGAAAAGCTTTTCAAATGAACACTGCATGTCATGACCTCAGAGAAGACAGATAATATCGAGTTATAAGTTAATCGTGCACAGCCGGAATGAAAACTAACTGATTAATTCGAACAGGAATTCATTCGTAACATCCAAATTGACTATTTGAAAAATATGAAAGTTAATTGTGAGAGGAGACCGATTTCATCACTTAACGATCCTCGTTGTTTTGCTAATAGATTGAAGTACTTCATCCATTACACCTGGGAAAAAATTTTAGTTTAATTTCTTGTAATCTGTCGAAGCAACAAGAATTTTATTGTACATGTCGGACATGTTGAAAGATCTTTTGACATTTTCAACGTCATACGACCAATTCAAGAGATAAAGTCTTGTTTTTTTTTAACTTTGAAGCTGATACTTAGAGCTACTGACTCTCGAAGCTATTTTCTCACAATAGGCCTTAATTAAAGGAGACAAAAACTTTCATTATGAAAGTTTGATCATCTTTTTTTTAATTAAATTTCGTAATTTCATCAATTCATGTATATCTCAACAAAGAAAAAAACTAAAATTAGGATCATGAAAGTCATCAGCAGCAAGTGCCTTCTTTCAAATAAAAAGAAAAAAAATTGATTTTGTTTTTTGAAGTAATCGAATGACGTTGAAGACAGCAAAGAATTCAATAGTACTAGAATTACTATTGCTTTTGCACAGAAATGAGTAGTCAACTTCAATATGTATACAAAGTTTCAGCTTAGCACCATGCAATAGTTTGAAAGTCCTATTTTTTAAGAGACAAACGGGACGCTTAATCTAAACAATCAACTTACTTGGCATGATTTCAGCAAATGCAACGACATTATCAGTTAAATCAGCTATTTCATGCATCATTGCTGGCGATGGACCCCATGCATCATTCGATGTTGCCGCTCGAACTTTGCGTTGAGCATCCGTATAATTATAAATAACATTTCGAACACCTCGAGCAAGCATGGAATATTAATATAGAAAAATAAGACGTTTGTTCTTTTTTGATTTAATTTCCTTTTCAAAAGAAAATTTTCTAAAACAGAATAAATCAAAAAAATTTAATTAGAAACTATATAGTTGAGATTAATTGCAATCGAAACACCATGAGATTATTAAAATTAAATAAAAAACAAAAATCTAAACAAGTTTTTTAGCTTCAAAAAATCCTTTAAGATGACGCATTTGCCAAAATCCAGCTATGACTAAAACAATTAATTGAGCTAATGACCACCATAAAACACGTTGATTTGTTGATTCGCTTGTAGCACGAAAACGTTCTTCACGATAACGTTGATAATTTTGTTCTTTTGTGCTAGAAAAGAAAGTTTTCAATATTTTTCTCTGCCTTACATGACCGAAATAGTTACGTTTATTGCAAAAAAAGTCTTCTTCTATTCGCACTGGAAAAAAGATTTACTGCTAAAAAAAAATGTCAAGAACTACTTTTATCAAAATACTTGATTGATTAACAAAGTATCAATAGTATTGAAAAGAATCCTTCGCTTTCTTGAACGAAAATTTTTAGACTGTTTTTTTTTTTGCTCGATAGATACTTCGAAGTATTCTCGATCTACTATACATATTAATATATAGCTATAAAAATTAAGAAATCAGCAATGATGAAATATTTTGGTGTAAAAAGAAATTAAAAATTTACATATTCTTTAGCTATATTTTGAAAAATTAGTTTTTTAACAAAAAAAACCTACTGAATTGCCTCTGTTTCTCAACCACAGTACATTCAATCGAGCTACAACTTTCTTCTGTTTATATCAGAACGTGTTTAAGGTGTCTAGTTCCCTTTCATTATAAAATATGGCTTACTGCTGATTTTTGTCAGGCTTCACAAAAAAAGGTCAGTTAAAAACAACATGTATTTTTCGAAGTATGTTGAGTAATTTAACCTTTTTATACGAATGGAAGAAGATATGAAGAAACCAAAAAAAAAAAAATACGCATCACAAATAATGTCTAGTATCTCTAAAACAAAATGTCAACTCTATCAAACGTATTACAATTGAGAAAGTGAAGTCTTTTTCTCTCCTCATCGATATCTATCTAGTCTAAAAAATTCCAAAATTTGATTATGTCCTATTGTCAAAAACTGTCGAACAGGAAGCAACCGTAGGCATAATATTTAACATACATCTGTTGTACTTGATCTAATAATTGTCTAACACGTAATTGAAGTTCAGTAAGTTTTTCACGTGTACCAACTTGTTGATAATCAATAGCATGTTCACCAATATCAATATCAAGATGAACACGCTAGAAACAAAAAAAAATCAACTAAAGTTTTAATAACACTTTTTTTTTAGATATTAATACGTACTAATTGTTGTTTACTAAACCAAGCACTTGAATTCGAATATATGCAAATAATATGTTCACCAGGTATGTGTGATGTAAATGTAAAACGTCCTTCATTAGTATATAATTTTGATAAGACTATTTTATCATCTGGATCTTTAACTTCTACATGCATGCCAATTCCAGGTGTTGATGGAAGATATGTTTTTGTATTTTCATCAAATAATTCGACTTTATATTTTCCAATAACTAATGTTTCATCAGGTATTTCTTCTATAAAACATTTTCGTTCTGTTTCACCAATGTGAAAATAAAGTGAATATGATATTGTTATCAATTGAAAAAGACTAATAATTAAAATAAAATATGAATGACTTTTCATCTTCAATATCTAAAAAACAAAGAAATAAACGTATATGTCAAAACAATCGATTTTCTCGTGAGAAAAACGAGAAAAGCAAGATGATTCTAAAAATATTTATGTCGTGTTATTCTTCCTACGTTATAAGGAAAAAAAAAGTAAACCAATCAATATTTTAGAATAAATCATCTGCATAAATGTTTAACATGCAATACAAAATGATGTTTCTTTGAAGAAGGACATATAAATGTTACTATGGACTAATCCAAAGTTTATTTTCAGGATCTTTAGGTTTGTTGAAATTATTTTCTTGTGTTTCTCGTTCATATCTATTTATTTTGTTATTGTCACATATATCAGTATTTCGACGGAATATGCATCAGCATCATCCACGCATAGTACATTTTTTGTTTGTTCTATGTAATACACAACGTGTAGGAAAATGTGTCTGGTACATATATTGTGTAGTAGTACTTTATAATTTTTCCAAAAATATTTAATATAAATAATTCAGTCGATATCGATGATGAGAAAACTTTACACGATTATAAATTCTATGAAAAGTGTATTCAAGACGGGACTGAGATTCGACTGAATATATTATTGTTTTGAATTGAAATAAATTTTTCTTTTGTTTTTATTCTCAAAGATAAATTATAAAAAATGGCCATCGGCAAGAACAAACGTCTTACTAAAGGTGGCAAAAAGGGTGGCAAAAAGAAAGTGTATGTTATTTCGAAGATTCGCTTGTTTTTATTTTTTCTATTAAATAAATGATATAATCTGTTGTTTTTTTTTTTTTTTAAATTTCAGTGCTGATCCTTTTTCCAAAAAAGATTGGTATGATATTAAAGCACCAGCTAATTTTGAAACACGTACTATTGGCCGAACACTTGTAACACGAACAACAGGCACAAGTATATATTATTTTATTTTCATGTTTTTCTCTATAAAAAAAAAAAATTCATTAATTTTTTTTTTCTTAATAGAAATTGCTTCGGATGCTTTGAAAGGTCGTGTATTTGAATCATCGCTTGGTGATTTAATTAAACTCGATGATGAAGATAGCTATCGTAAATTTAAACTTATTTGTGAAGATGTACAAGGTCGTCATTGTTTAACTAATTTTCATGGTATGGATATCACAACAGATCGACTACGTATGCTTGTAAAAAAATGGCAGGTAAAAAGAAAACAAAACACAACAAATTTGCAATATTAATAAGAATTTTATTTTAAGACATTAATTGAAGCTCAAGCTGATATTCGTACATCTGATGGTTATCTTTTACGTGTTTTTTGTATTGGTTTTACTATGAAAATGCGCGGCCAAATTCGAAAAACATCATATGCACAACATACACAAGTTTGTTTCATAAGCAGTCTTTATAAAAAAAAAAAACAAGATTTTTCTATGATTAGATTAAAGCAATTCGTAAGAAAATGGTCGAAATAATGACACGTGATATTGGTGGTAGTGAACTTAAAGAAGTTGTTAACAAACTGTACGTTTTATCTTTTAACTCTTGTTTTAAATATTTTCTTTTTTGTTTAGTATTCCGAATAGTATTGGTTCGGAAATTGAAAAAGTTTGTCGCGGTATCTATCCATTACAAAATGTTAACGTTCGAAAAGTAAAAGTACTTAAAAAACCCAAATTCGATGGTAAGAAGAAAATATATATATATTATTAAAATTATTCTATGATTATTTAATGTAGTTGCTCGTCTTATGGAAATGCATGGTGAAAGTTATAGTAGTGTAACTGTCGGTGAAAATGGTCAACGAGTTGAACGTGCCGATGGTTATGAACCACCAGTACAAAGTTCTGTTTAAAAAAAATTAGCAATAATTCTATGTTTAAACAGAGTTAATTTTTTCGATCGTTCTCTGTCTGTACAAGAAAAAAAAAACGAGAAGAACAGAAAAAAAAGTACACATAACGATTCTTGTTTTGGACCGTTAAGAATAAAAACATTTAAAAAAAACAATCAATTGTATTTATTTCTCTTTATTAATTATTTTAACGCATGTGTTTTGTGAAAGATAATAGATTGACATACTCATTTTCATATTGAGTGTAATATCAGGTAGAACTAAGGTCGTCGAAAATTGTAAACAGTTTCTATTATTTCGCTAACTGTTGATTTTCGCTACGACATAGGGTGGCGTATAAATAACTAAACGATGAAAGCACTCACTAGCTGTAATCTCATTTAATTGATCGGATTGAACTTTTTTTTTCTCATGGTAACAGAGAACATTTTAAAGTTTTTGTTTATAAAAAAAATTATCAATGGATACTATTTGAAACTAGGACTATTGGCCGAAGGTATCTCTCTGTGATCTTCGTTGTTCGGAAGCTTAAACATTGGAAATTTTTAGAAGATGTAATACTTTAGAAATTTAGACCAATGAGCTGAGTCCAATTTCGATTGCTTGAATTCGATGTTTTTCGATTTCCATAAGTTTTGTCTGTTAATGTCGATCTGTAAAATGAAATTTATTTGATCGATTTTGAATTATTTTAGTCTAAATCAGTACAGAATGTGATTTAATTGGGATAAACAGACAAAACTATAGTAATCGAAAAACATAGAGTTTCTCTTATAGTCATAGACGAGCAATAAGATTTATTTGTGCCCTTTTCAACAAATTATTGCACACAAAAATTGAGCATATGCTACATCTTTTACTAGTATCACCTAGTAAATATGCTATAAATATGAGACCTAACTGTTCATGTATAAAGAAAAGAAGTCGAAAAAATTCTGTGTTCGATTACCTTTGCGTCGCGTTTTATAGTTCAGGAGAGCAAGGAGCTTAGAACCAGATCAACTTATCATTATGTAAAAAATTTACAGCTTTCGAAAGCTTAGATGAAATTCAATGGCATTTAGAACGTGAAAAGCTTTATTAACTGACGACATAATGATAGATTCGTCGAGTCATAAACTTCTTCTTTTTTTTGAGTTTTGAACATTTTCATAGATCATAACTCCTCTGTAGTTCAAAGAAACGACGTCAGGCTCCTCTCGATGACCTACATTTCTAAAATATTATATACGCTAGAAACGTCACATGCCTAGCTCTAAGAATTGGTGAGATACTTTTGACCAGTAGTACTAGTTCAAAGCAGTATCTCTTTAACAGTTCCTTTATGAATAAAAACTTTTGATGAGTAATCTATCCATGAATGGAAAAGAATCAGCCTGACAGTTTAAAGCTGACTGGACATATTGAACTTTTTTATCGGCTAGTTATTTCTGGATGATTCTGTTTAAAAAAAAAGACAACGAATTATGATTAATGCTGAACTGTGAATGTTAAGAGAGTTTGAATGTTTCTGCATATCTGATAGTTGTCACTTTATAGAACATACAGTGGCCGCAAAAATTATTAGTACGATTTCGTTTTTGATTAAGGATAATCAAAACATGGAGTTTTTAAGTTTTAGTGGTTATCAAGAGAATCATCACGTCTTCTATTATGTATACTATAAAATTTTGCGTTACAGAGCGAACCTATATAAAATGAGAGATCACTCTTTAAAAAGTCATGCATTTTTTTACGCAAAAATTATTCGTACGATTTCGATAAAGAGAAGATTTCCGTTTTTATGATTTTAACAACTTTTATTATGACTCATTAGATGCATGAAAGAACAGGTTACACATTCACAATATCTGTTTTTGTGATTCAATCCTATTGAATAACCATAGTTGGCTGTTCAAAGACAACGGACTTTTACTTTGAAATTGAAGCATAATTATTGTGTGGGTGTGGGGTGTGGGCGTGGGGCGTGGGTGTGAGTGTTCCTGCATCTAACTATTCATAATTAAGGTTTTTATAACCATAAAAGCAGAAAAATATTTTCTTTATGAAAATCGTACGAATAATTTTTGAGTAAAAAAATACATGATTTTTTAAAGAGTGATCTCTCGTTTAATATAGGTTCACTCTGTAAAGCTGAATTTTATAGTATGAATACTAGAAGACGTGATGATTCTTTTGATCACCACTAAAATTTAAAAACTCCATGTTTTGATTGCCTTTAATCAAAAACGAAATCGTACTAATAATTTTTGCGGCCACTGTATATCATTAGATTGATCTAATTCTATGGAATCTATTGACAGGAGAACTTGGTCAAGTGATAAATTAATTTCAAGATATGTCTCACTTCTTTTGTAAGGAATTTTTCAACAAAATGCTGTGTTTCTGTGAGATTACTTTCAGAACCGACTTTCGAGTTGGAACTTTGTATACATTAGCAAAGTTTCTTATTTTTATCTCATATAAGAATTTTCATTGATGATATCTCAAGCAAAGGAAATACTGTAAAATCAAATACTTTCATAATGAACTGGTCCTATTCAGAACTTCTTTTGTAAAAATTCCTTCTTAAACTTAAACTTACCTCATTTTACAAAGCTTATCTGAATCAGAAAAAGTTCAAAACAATTTATTCTTATGCGTCTTAGTTTCTTAGTCAAGAATATACATTATCTAATCTGACAGCGAACAAAATTATTGTCTATAGATCTTATCGGATTTTGATCATTNCAATTGGCGAAAGTCACCGGGGCATATTGGCGAAAGCACAGTGGACTCTCGCCAATTGGCGAAAGTCACCAGGGCATATTGGCGAAAGTACACTGGACTTTCGCCATTGGCGAATGTCCTGTTGGCGAAAGTCTTATTGGCGAAATTCGGGAATCCCCAAAGGAGTCAAAAAAAGAATTTCTTTTTTTATATTTCGGCTTCGATTAATTAAACTGATTTATATTCACATACAAGACCCTTACTTGACATAATTTGATTGGTCTATCACTTATGTTGTATCATGGCTAGACGGTGGCAAAAAAAACTTATGGCTTTTTCATTCTCATTGTTATCTTTATCATCCAAACTTCTAATTTAGTCAAACTGAAAGTCGTTAAAAAAAAATTTGGTTAAATTTTTAATTAATCATACCATTTTTGTTGAAGATTTCTCTTGAACTGTTAACAGCTTTCTCTCACGCATATAATAAGAACCACATGTTAAAATTAAAATGGCATATTATTCGAATTCTAACGATCAATGATTATCTTGTTTTTCATTGATAATATGCATGAGAGAGAGAGAGAGAGAGAAAGAGTCCTAGAAAATGATCAATGCAAACTGAACTCATAGCACAGAATCCCAAAATATAGATGGCATTGGTTTCTTATTATCCTAGTATATAAGTATCTTTCATTGGTGATTAAAATATGAGAAAAGAAGAGAGAGTACACGTACGGTACGGTATTTGATTAGTTTCTTTTTCATTTCACATCACCGACGATTACTGAAGAAGCACACGAACTATTATGCTTTTACGTGCACCTTGTAAAATTAATTTAACATTGGATGTATTTGACAAAAAGGAACGTACTGATGGTTATCATAATCTTGATTCACTTGTTGTACCATTCGGTGAGCTAGCTGATGAATTGAACATTCACATCGAACCTGCTTCGGATAGAACTTCTATCATAATTACTTGTAACGATTCATATCTACCCGTTGACAATCGAAATTTAGCGTATCGAGCCGCTGATGCTTATCTTGCCTATATTAATAAACCATTTAATATCAAAATCGATCTGTACAAACGTATACCAACGGAAGCAGGACTAGGTGGTGGAAGTAGCGATGCAGCTGCCGTTTTACGAGCATTAAATGCTTATTTTAATCAAGCAGTTGATCGATCAACACTTACAGTAATGGCAGCTCGTCTCGGCTCTGATGTACCATTATTTCTGGCAGAAAAAACAGTGCGTATGCGCGGTTGTGGTGATATTATTGAACCAATAGATTTTAAACTGCCGGTGTTCTGGGGTATCATTGTGCATCCAGAAATAGGAGTATCAACGGCACATGCATATGCTCTCCTTGATGCAGTACCAAATCGACAAGCTGGAACTAGCACTGAACGACTTCTTTCTCGTCTATGTGGCAAGAAAGAAACGTCAATGAACGTTAGTGAAATTTTAGCAACCGGTCTGTCTAATGATTTTGAATCTGTTGTACTTGCCGCTTATCCTATTGTTGCCAGGGCATATGAAATGATTGTATCTGCAGGTGCTCTACGTGCTCTTTTGTGCGGAAGTGGTTCGGCTATTTTTGGTCTCGCTCGAAATCTTCAACATGCTAACGAGTTAGCCGACACATTGGCTATTCATTTCTCTTCTATAAAGATCGTTTCAAGTGCCCTTACTGATGCATTTTTACATCAAACAGCTGTAACAGATTAAATATATTATTTTCTTCTAGATTGATCTTGCTCGAGAAATTTACAGGTTATCTATTTCCATCGTACTTACTTTCTTTTTAACGTCTTTCCATCAGATTCGTATCAACATTGAAAAAAAAGGTATGCATCTAGATATATGATTATAATATTCGCTTAATAAATAGAATATTGACAGAATAACAAACGACATCTCATCGTGAAATGTGTCAAAAAAACGTAACAATTTTGTTTCATCAACATCTTATAAATATTGTTTGAGTCGATGAGTAATTTCAATAGATTTAAGAAAAAAAATAATTTAGCTGCGATCGTATAGGCTGAATCACTTCTGTGTATTTTCTCTTTTTTCTAAGTTTCATTAATAAGAAACAAAGGAACGAACCTTTGTGAAAAATTTTCAGTTCAGTAATAGCAAACTCATTCAATTTTTTATATCTTATTGATAATTATGAAGCCATTAGAATAGAAAAACTTCTAATATGGTTTTACTTCTATTGAATTTTCTAGTACTGTATCGCTTGTTTTCGTAGAATTGAATAAGAGTGAGAATTAAATTCAATTTAATGTCTGAAAACGATAACTGGTTTAATAATATCATATGAAGTAGAAGAAAATTTTGCAAAAGAAACTTTCATATATTATAAAATGATAATGTATACATAAAATTTTACTGACTTTTGTCAGTAATAATAAAAAAAAACTAATAATAAATTCTATCGTTTTAGCCGTAATATGACTTTGAAACAAACACGAGTAGGTATGGGTTTTGATGCTCATCGTTTTCTTCCTACGCAAAACGGTCCTTCAAATAATATTATGTTGTGTGGAGTTGAAGTTCCTTCAACATTTGACATTGAAGCCAACTCAGATGGAGATGTAGGACTTCATGCTCTTGTAGATGCCTTACTTGGTTCAGTGGCTGCAGGTGATATTGGCATGCATTTCGCTCCTGACGATAAACAATGGATAGGAGCCAAGTCAAGTATATTTGTTAAACATGCTCTGACGATAGTACATGAGAAAGGTGGCGAATTGGTTAATATTGATATCACGATTATTGCTGAAAAGCCTTACATTTCTCCTTATCGACAAATTATGCGTGAAAAACTTAGCGAACTACTAGCTCTTGACATCGAACGAATTAGTGTAAAAGCAACAACAACAGAGAAAATGGGCTTCATTGGACGAGAAGAAGGAATTGCTGCTCAGGCTATTGTTAGTGTTCTTGTTTAGCTAAATTTAGTATAATAAAATAAAACGATATTTAGCAAAACAACCGAAATGCATACTTAAAATACGATTGAAAAGAAATGTAAAACTCACTGGAAATCAACTAAGACATCTGTAAAAAAGGTAGCATTTTATATAAACCAAACATAATTGTTGATTGATCTAAATAAAGTATGTATATCTATCAATGAATATTGTCGCTCATGAAATTGTTGCAAGAAATACATATTAATGCTTTCTAATACAATTCTACAGCAAGCTACTTAGGATATAAGTACAGATAAATTATTTGTGTTATGATTCATTTTTTTTTCTCTTATATTTATATTTCATCTAATTGTAATCGCTCGATTGAACAATATAATTATGTACATGAAATATATGTTGGGGGCAAAATTGGGATCCGGGCAAATCTGAGATTTGACCGGGTAAAATTGAGATTCTAATTTTGACCGGGCAGAATTAAAATTCCAATTTTGACCACTCTATCTTTGGGCAAAATTGGGATTCTAATTTTGACCGGGCAGAATTAGAATTTAACTAGAGATAAATTCCTAAAAGCACGTGTGTTAATATAGGTAGAATAAAAAAAAAAGAAGTGATTTTCCGAGAGTTCATATGTCGTTAAGTAATATAAATATAGTCGTACATATAGTTTAAAAAATGTTTGAATCGGATTCAACAACCAGCCAATTAGATACACGTGAATTTCTTTATTATGAAGAATTAAAACATATTGTTAATGATGATTTAAAGGATATTACATTTATTGAAGCATGCAAACTGTATGTACATGCATCAATAACCGGTGGCACTTGCGACTGTAAAGGAAAGTGCATTACAAAACAATGTCCATGTAAAAGAATGGGTGTTTATTGTTCGACCAAATGCCATTCCAAACGAGGTGGTTGTAAAAATATGGGTGAATAAATCGAAGTATTTTGTTTTGTAAAATGTTTATCAAGATTAAAAAAGATATAGTTGAATAAAAATAGTTATTATATTCATATTTTTTTATATTTTGGATGTATAGATTTATTTCTAGTTAAATTCTAATTCTGCCCGGTCAAAATTAGAATCCCAATTTTGCCCAAAGATAGAGTGGTCAAAATTGGAATTTTAATTCTGCCCGGTCAAAATTAGAATCCCAATTTTGCCCAAAGATAGAGTGGTCAAAATTGAAATTTTAATTCTGCCCGGTCAAAATTAGAATCTCAATTTTGCCCGGTCAAATCTCAGATTTGCCCGGATCCCAATTTTGCCCCCAACATATATATACATTTATAAAAAATTACAAAAATTAATTTAAAACAAAAAAATGCGCTTAAAAAGCAAACAATATAATTTTTATTGAATTTGATCATTAAAATAATCCCAGGTAAAATAATCAGACAGTAAAATCTTACAAGATCATACCTCTGATCTTGTGTGATCTTGTAAGACCAGACAGAAGTCGTACAACAAATCATCGTCTCTGCAAACTTGCGCAAGATCATACTATAAGATTCTTGGAAGATCTTGCCATCCGATAAGATATTACTTTAAGATTATAGGAAATCTTATGTGATAGTAAGATCTTTCAAGAATCTTATAATAGGATCTCGTGTAAGATTGCAAAGACGATAATTTTGTGTATGATTTTGTCTGATCTTACATCTGCTTTTTTGATCTGGGAATACTTCGTCCTGGATTTGTATAAGTGAGATCTAAAATTATGATCGTATACTATCGTATAAAATCTTACAAAATTTCCATGAACAAACTTTGCTAGAATCTTATAAGAAAAATCATGCAAGATTCACTATACTATCTTATAGCAAGATAAATATTAAACATTACAGTAAGATATTTGTACGATTTCGTATCAATCATATACTATGAATCGTATGACATCTGACAGTCTGTAAGATCTTATATTGCCATTGTCAGGTTTTCGACCTGGATAGTTGTTTTTTAATAAAAATATTGAAATTTTAGTGGACAATCAAGTATATATCCTAGATATTTAAATTGTTTGGCTTGTGCTATTTGTATAGAATTGAAAAATGAATTCATTCTGCGTGTCTTGAGCTTTTAGACGTCTATAGTTTATTATTGATTTTCTAATTATTCTATCGGTTTGTATTTGTAACTACGTAGCAGGTAACAATACTGATATAAATTAATTAAAATAATTGATGATCGAAGTTATCCTACAGATAAAGTAAAAAAAAGTAACAGTGTGTGAATTTCACAAAAACTATTTTTGCTCGTATTTCGTATATGATCTCTGTTCGAACGTTAATATTATGTCATAAAAAAAAGAATATGTCTTAGAAGTCAGAATTTTATAAAGCACTTCTTCCGACCATTTTTCATTTCGATTTTTTTTGACATTTTTACGGCCAACCAAATGTTTTATTTCGCATTGTTTTATCAATTTTGCCCAGTTACTGGTAAATATTTACAAAAATATAAAACATCTGTCACACAAAATCAGAATTTTATTCTTGTTTGTCTGTTTTTTTTTTCTTGCTTATAATTCAATAAGGAAAAAGTGAAGACAGTTGAACTGATAAATACACACACACTTTCATTCAGTCTAAAAACAAAATGGATTTAAAATAAAGAACAAGCTATTTTTATATGTCTATTGTAAAAAGATAAATGGAAGCAAAAATTAATGAAATAATATTTTTTTCTTTTATACGAATAAGTCAAAAGAGTAACAAACAAATGAATATGTTTCTTGTTAAATTTTCGATTATCATCAGAAAAAAAAACTATTTTTTTAAATCCATATTTGTAAATATTATTTAATCTTCATTTCTATCATCAATAATCTCAAACACCATTTAATACAAATAACATGAAAACATAATGAATTTTAATCAACAATCTTCTGATAATAATCGAAAATTCAGCAAAGAACAAACAATCATAATCATTTGTTTTTCTTTTAATTTATTCAAATACAAAAAAGGTTATGTCATTCATTTTGGCTACTATGGATCTTTTGGTAATAAAACAGGAATACACTAAAAAATATGCACACAACAATTACATGGAAATGAAGACTCGTCTGTGTTTTCTTTTTTTTTTTTTGTTGCTTTAAGTATCGATTTTATTTCTTGCTAATAACGATTAATATCAAATAAACGTACACCGAAAAATATTGGAAATTTCGGTATAACTGCGAGAAGCATTGTAGCCATATTAATTATGAAATGAGTCTTATCATATTTTGTATAAAAACTCGCAATGAAGAATCTAGTAAAGTCCAAAAAGAAACAGAAAACAAATCTCAGTTAAAACACATAATCAATAAACAATCAACTTACAAGACAATTGGAAGAATTTGAAGAAATTTTCTTGTACCTGTCCATTGAACACCATTATCAATTTGTTCCCAAAATGTATAACGACGTGCTAAACCTTGATCACTTGTTTCCCATGGAGCACCTTTAATCAAATGAAATAAATAGTAACTTCCCTAGAAATAATATATATATATATACATATATCGATATAAAACGATAGATTTCAATTTAACATACAATATTATGAATAGTTGTCGTTAAAGTCCATGCCACAGATGTTGTTATATAAGGAATACTGAGTAATATAAAGTGAAGAACAAAAACAAGAATAATATATGTAAGCCAAACACCACGACTATTTAGCCATGAACTATTTGGATTTCCTTCTCCTTGTGCAATACCAACGTTCATAGTTTTGTTAATCACTACAATAATAAAAGCTCTTATATAAATAAAGTAGACTTTTTGAATAACTGTATGATTAAAAAAAATTGAAATATCTCAATTTCAGTTTAATCAAATTTTTCATGATTCAGATCTATTAAAAATTTTTTTGTTACATAACATTAACATAGACAAATATTGCTTTGAAGTATCATTATTGACTTCATAAAAAGAATAATATAATCTTTTATCAAGTGAGAAACATAGATGAAGCCACTCATAGATAATGTTCAGTTATCGCTTACGAATAATAACGAAACAAAATTCAAACAAACAATTTATTAATGATTTCACATTGATACATATAGAGTAAAACTTTTAGGACTTGTTAATTCAAATGTTTGAATTCTTGCTCAATGATTCAAGCAAACAATCGAAGCCTTCAGGCATTAATTTATCAATTTCCTGACAAAAATCAGTGTTCAAATATTATAACCATTCACTCTCAAACTAACTAGTTTTAAAACATTGTGTATATCAATGTGATATGATTAATAAAAATTTGTTTTGATTTTCTCTTGTTATTCTCTTAAGTAGAAACTAGAAATAATCAATAACTTGCTTCATGAGTATTTAGTACCTCTGTAGTAGATGTTTCATCGTGAACACACGGTAACACTCTAGGTGATATTCGTCGTCAAAAAAGGTGTTTCACCTTGTGATATTAGAGACAATATCAGAACTTTAAAGCAGATGTTGTCTTCTACAAAGAACACAGGTTATAAAAACCTCATACATAATGTCTAATTTCACAAAAACTAAAACATTTTTTATGACAACAACTACTCGATAGAATGTTGTCGTGTATTCCCATTGGAACATCGTTGATAACAATATTCTATGTAGTCAGAGATAGAACGCGAATACTTTCTCTTGTTAGCACTAGTACTCTTTCAGTCGTTGATAGGTATACAATCATATGGTTTGTATTAAGCATTACACAAGTGTCCACAAAAAGGTTAAATTTTATTTTTGATCAATATCTATTATCAAGAAAGAAAATATTGTATTTTAAAAATTCTGTGCTTTTTTCTAAATCAGCATAAAAATATGAAATACTTTCAATCATTACTTAATAGAAGATTTTAATCAAAAACAAAATATAATGTTTTATTGTCACTGATGGAACGCATAAAATGAGCCGAATGATTGTATATCTATCAAGAAGTAAACAAGTATTGCAGCAATCATAGGAAAACACTTACGCCAAGTCTCTGCATGTATTTTCTTACTGTGAAAAAAATAAAAAGGTTATATTTCTTTAGTGAAGCCAATATTGATATTTCAAAACAGTATTTGTCTATGATATCCATATGAAACAAAAAAATTTTAAGCAGACCTCAATCACCAACAAAAAAAAAAGATCAGTCCATTTGATTAAACCCAAATTGAGATATTTTAATTTTCTTTTCTTCAGTTATTTATTGTACACTCTGTAGATCTACAGCAAACAAACAATTATTGATTTTTTATCACCTTTTTTTCTATGGATGACGTGTCTTTCATGTACAGAAAGCAAAATCAACACATATATGAACGAATGACTAAAGAATAGTACTATTAGGTAACTATAGCTATGTCTTGAAAGTAAAATCAATTATGATGGCCTTGAAACATTGACTAATAGGATTCGATTTAAAAAATATTTATTTAGTAAAATGGAGAACTCGTTTAACTAAAAAAGAAGCAAGTATCAGAGAGAAGAAAAACAGACACTGATTCATAGACTTCTCAACATATCTATCATTGGTTATTATACTAATTATTTGACACAGTTAGAGGGCGCTCATCTACACAATAGAATGTTTCTTCAAGTAAATCGATCCAATATATACCCATGTGTTGCAGCGGCGTAACCGGGATTTTTAGACCAATGGACAAACTTCTTCTCTGTCGGAAAAAAATGATGGACGAAATGCGCAAGGTTTTTATTGATAGGTCAAAATTTTTTTGGCCCAAAAAGTACTCATAACGTAAAAAACCACAACAAAAATGAAATGCGGTTCTTTGAATCAAGCATGCACCAAACTCAGATCTTAAGCCTGAACCAGATGTGTTTTAGTCTTTTTTTAATGTCTCTCTTTATAACATTTATATTTCAAACTCAAACACCAAAATCTCTACGAACTAGGTATTTCACATCTTGGTTTTTTCCTTTATGTTTTAAGATAAACGTCATTGGATGTTTCCTTTTTCTGGTAGGCGTCACTCTCTCTTTCTCTGTATATATATCTACACATGTGTTTGTGTTTTTGTTTCTCTTCTCTTTGATTAGTCCTTCTCTACCGTTTACGTGGTTAGTGCTTTCCCAACAAAAATCGAACTCGCTCATTCACCCAAACTTACAGTTCTACTATGGAAGTGATTCTTTTCTCAATTCTTCATAGAAAGAACAAGCAAAGAATGCATGTGTGTGAATCAGACGAAAGAACAATAAATACAGTTACTATCTAATTCAAAAATAAATTAGCAATTCTGAAAAAAGTAAAATTACAATGGACAAATCTCCAAATGAAATTGACAATTGTCCATTTGTCTTCCCCTTGGTTACGCCGTGGATGGGTTGCGAACTACAAAAAAAACGGTAGTAATCTGTTAGGATACCGATCAAACTACTGAGGAGTATATCCCGACGGTAAACCGCCTGTTTTTTCATGCTACTAGTACTGTTCGGTTGTCATATCAACATCTATGAAAGTATTTTAGCTCTTTAAAAAAAACGTTTATGATTACAGTCGTCAGCAAGAATACTCACATTTACGAATGCGTTTAAGCCACCTGTATTATCGATATCGATTGTTTTGATGTTGTTTTCAAGTTTGATTATCTAATAAAGGTGGCGCAATAAAAATAGTCATTAGTCAGAAGACATAACCAGTAGAAAAATGTGCGGCGCTATCTTACATATTTGACTGTGGTATAATAAAATCACTGTTTCCAATATTAAGTATCTCAAGCAATAGTAAAATACCCAAGGTACTTAGGATTTTGAAAAAAATATTGTGTTATGCACTTTAATCACAAAAAACAAAGTAACGTAATGGTATTCAGCAATGTAGAAACATCACTGCTAATTTTTTGCGGCATTGTTGAAAAGCTGCTCGTCTTACTTTTGTTTATTTATTCTAATTACATGCATCAACATAAAATGTGTCCATGTGTCGTACTTTGCGACATATTCATCCAACCAATCTGCGAAACATTCTTGAAAATGTGGTTCCAATCTATCCTTCAGCATGGTTGTAATGTTTTGCAGCATCATTGAATAATCACTTCTTTTCCAGTTTAACTGAAATTAGTAATATTGCTTCTTTGACTCCAAGACGGTAAGGTCTAGCCAACCTTTGTAGTTTGAATTGTGATCAGGTCACTTTGAGACAGTCCATTCTTGAACATTGAACAAATTCTCAATCTTTTCTCGAACGACTTATTGAAAAATAATCTAGAGTAAAAGACATACAAAAATGTATAAATTCAGTATATTCAACCGCGTTACACTTATGAAAATCTACAAGCACTAAAACAAAAGGCTTCATGGATAGCTAATCAATAGATGAAGGATTGCCGGGTTTTATTTATCGATAATACATAACATATTTTACCTATATCAACAGAGAGCTATAGTTCCGAAGAGTTAGTCCTCATTCTCAACTGCTAGTACGTCTCTTCGAGTGTCGTTTTCGTTGTCACCCTCAACTTGCTACTTGTTGTCGAACTAATCCCTTCCATCTGATGATAAAATATAGTAGCAATATTTTATTGAAAAATTTCAATAAATCCCGAAAATCTGCTGCAATAGAGTACAACACATTTTATTCAAGTATGCATATAAAGTTACGAAATATTTTTTTCTTTGATTCTTACAAAATTTATCTTTACCTTGTTTTAGCCTTTTAATATTGTTTCTTATATATACTTTTTCATTGATTCTTTTCGGATGTATGAAATTAAGGATTTCAGTCAAATCAACTACATGGTCTTGCGACTAATCTACTAATAAGAGCAATAATAATTACTTCCAGTATATCTGTTTTTCTTTGATTTCTAATGTACATTTGATAGTAAAAATGAACTAAGAGAATTATTTTTTAGACCTAGTCAAATGAATATGTGTACATATGTGAACATTATCTATATAGTATTTTTCCACATTGTTTTTATACAGAAACATTTTTCATAACAAGATTCGAATAGTAAAACCTTTGCCTTTGTTTTTATTGATCAATTTTTTGCTATAGTATTTTGAGATACTTTATTATTTAGAACAAAATATCCACGGATATTTTCTCCATGGATACAAGCTACCTATTTGTACTTTGTTTCAGATTTCTATGAGGAACTCTGATTAAAATTGTCTTTTTTTTCATTAGAAATCGGTATTTTCAAGACACGTAATACCAAAAAAATAGAAAAATCAGTAGAAAATTAATAAAAAAAAGTTTGCACCACTTGAACCTACGGGTTTTGAAATAACTGCGGTTGCTCGTCGGTTCTAATGAAAAGAAAAGTGGCATAGGTAACTATATCATATATATATGTGTCTACCGACGCAATTATATATGAATGAATTGGACAGTGATTAATCAACTACGTAAGATGCATTATATCAATGCTCTACAGTGTTGAAAACCCTATTCTTAGGGTATTAATAGATTTTATGTTCGTTTTTATACTTTCTAATATTTAAACCATTAACATTTTTGGTTAACTAACTCACGGACTATTGCTTTATCTATTTTCTTGTAAACCAAAAGGAAAGTAATTTGATTTAACTTAGTCGAAATATTTGAATGCAATCAGTAAAAGACATAATCATCTGATCTCCAACATATTGATGTGTTATTAGTTAAGAAGAAACTATTTTTTGTTACAAATCGCTTGCTTAATTTTTATGTCTTTACAAAAAGTAATTAAAAGAGTTCACAAATTTAACTTTGTTTGATTAAAACGATTACGATTCCGTTTACGATTACGATAACGAAGTAATATTGAGTTACATAATTTATTATTACAATTACGTCCACAGGTCACATCAGCATTTGGTAATTTGCAATCTTCAGGGAAATTGAGGTAATCACAGATTGGTTGGTAACAAACAGCTAAAAAAACATAATCTAAAATAATTTAACCTTCAATTAGATATTAAACATACTGGTTAATAAGGCTGTTGCTTGAAAATTACAACTAAAAGTAGAATATAATATTAATGATAAATAATCAAAAGAAAACTAAGCAAATAAACAGACTAAGACGTATCACAAAAAACCCAAATAGAATTTCCTTCAAGTATTAAAAGATTTCTATCTTGTACATTCATAAAGCCATGCTCCCATGAACAACCCCGATAAAGTGTAAATTGATCATCACGATTGAGACGTGTATAACATTGTCCATTGCATGGCGTTCCATCAATTTTTAATGTTGCACTGACATTGACACCACACAATGGATTTCTTGAATTACATTGATAACAATATCCAGCCGCTGCCGAAGCTAAATTATATGAAGAGTTCATTTAGGATTGACATTCATTTCAATTTTAATTACTTTCATTAATCAATACGAATGCAGATAATAGAAAAATAATAAAGAAAATTTGAACGAAATTTGTTGTTGTTGTTATTCCAGGCATCTTCTAAAATAAGAAAATGATTATTGAATGACGAATAAAATAAAATGCTTAGACGTTTATTCAACCCTGAGACTTAAATATTGCACATATTCAACTCCTACATTTTAAATATTTGTTAATAGAGAAAAAAAGAAGAAAAAAGTACGATTACGTATATATTAGGCTACGCTTTGAAACTTGATTCCGAACTTGAAAATTGGCGACAACACCTTCTTATCAAAAGAACAATGACCTCCAACAGCAAGTATCTCTATATTTTTTTGAAGAAAAGTCAAAATTACTTTATAGGCTTCATATTTCCTTTTTTGCAAATAAACTTCAAGGAAATTTATTTTACAATAATCTATATAAGTATATAACTGAAAAAAGAAAAATAATTATTTGTATAAAATATGATTTATTTATGAATCTTCAATAAATAGCCTTCACAATGATAGTGTACCTAATATAGGTTCATTTTTCTTATTAGAAGATATTGACCTATCAATTAATCAAATCTTTTGTTCAGTCTTCTCCTTCATGTCTAATCCATATCAAGCAAAAAATTGTTAACAGTTGTTTTTATTGTTTTATCATTTGCCATCATAAACGGAACGAGCTTTGCCTCTGGTACAATCTTTGGCTCGATTCCGTATGGTACTTGTTTATACACAGCAGAATATATGCTACCACCTACTATTATCAGCTAGATCACGATATTAACAACAAATGAAAAGGTCAATAGAATTCGTTAAGATGCATATATGCATGATGATCATATCAAGTGAATGTTATGCCTCATATTGAAAGAAAAGAAATCGATAATAATGATGGTAAATGTTGAGAATAAGAAACGTCGATCATTTGATTGTGTGAGGAAATAAAGATAGACAGACTACAAGATCAAGAAATATGTCGATTTTAGAACCAATGACAACACCAGAATCAATGGCTATTTCTGTTGCTTATTCAATTGATGATATGGAAAAGTAAGATTCTTTCTTTTTTCAATTTATTTATTTTAATATAGAAGAAAATCGAAAAAACCATAGTTGAATGACATCTAGTATTAACAGAGATTAATATAGAATATGAAAAAGATTTATCATGTATTTGAAATAAAATAATATAACTCATAATGATAGAAAATCATTTAATATATTATTTATCAATTGTTAAGAGGTATATGAAATATCATTATGTTATTCATTGAGATTGAAAAAGAGTGGCGTCATGACGACATATTGGTAAATTGTGGAATAGTCTTTCTCTTGTCGATTAATTTTGATTGATCCTTTCGTTTATGTTGTTGTATTTTGATGTTAAATTATTTGTAAAAAATATCTTTGAATATTTTTCTGAAGATTATTTAGTTTTTTTTTTTTCTTTTTTACACGATAGGAAAATAATAGATTTTTCTTTAAGAATTTTTATTTATATTATTGATATTCTGCATATTTATTTTTATTAATTTTGTGGATATTTTCCATGAAGTAATGTACCTAGAAGTTATAACACGAAAAAGAAAAATCAATCCAGTTACAATCACTTCGTCCTCTATTTTTTTTTCTTTCATATTCTAGTCGCACGATAAATAACGATAGTAAAAGAAATGATTAATTGGTCTCATGCTAGTACGGTATAGTGTCGATTGGATTGATGTTAGAAAAGGAGGAGAAAAATAACAAGAAGTTCTTGGTGTTATCGATCTTCGTCAAGTCTTTCATTTTCTTTTTCTTATCCCACACTTTTTTCTCTCTCTCTCTCTCTCTTTTTACCAGCTCTTCTATCCGTCGGTACCCCCAAGAGAAACAAATAATAATAATAACAACAACAACAACAACAGCAGCAGCAGCAAAAAATAGACTAGAGGTAATCAGAAAAGAATTGAATACATGTTGAATTCACCAAAATAGAAATCATTTGAGTAGATGACATTGTGTCAATCGTCTAGGTAATAAAAAAAAGAAAGGATCATATCGACAATCACAATGACGATTTGTCAAGCGCAACCAATGTAACGATAAAAAGGAGAAAAAAAAATCGCCTTTTTTTACTCTCTGTTCTTTTCTCGTTCTTTCTTTGCCTCGCGTGTTTATATTTGTGTATAACTATGTGTGTGTGTCTGCGTGTTGTTTTCTTCATTCGCTCTTTAGTAATGTGTCTGTTTTGTATACTTTTTCATGGTGAAAAGAGAATACCATAGTGCATGTTCTCATCCTCTCGTACTACAGAACAGATACATCTTCTCTCTTTTCTTGCTTCTGTTTTTTTCTTTCTTCTTCGTTCTCTATCTATTCTCAATCGTCATTTTGTAGAACATAGTATAGAATGAAAGATTGTGTAACACAGGCACCATCTCTGCCGCAATATCCCTATTACTCGCCAACATATACTCATCATCAATATAGATCGCCAGCATGGCATCATGCACTTTCATCTCCGTCTCATCATTATGATCTATCGGCATTATCTAGATCACCTTATCGTTATACACCTACAACACATTATTATCCTTCACATATAAATGGCAGATCTCCTCAATATCAATCGAATAGGTAAGAAATAGAACAGTAGGCTATGATATAATCTGTATTCAATTATGGCATTTTTAACTGTTGATGTTGTTGTTACTTATGCTTATGATGGTATTATCTTTGAAGAACATATGGCTGTGTGTAGGCGGATTTGTGAAGAGAGGATATTTGTTGATGATTGTAATTGTTCTATATACAGTACTCTTACTCGTTGCCAATCTATCTAACATTTGCGTCTAACATGTCAGCAACTTACACATAGATTAAATGCAAAATGTGTTAGCCTGTGCTGTATTGATATAGAAAAAAGGAATAAGACCAAACATTAATCTAATGATCGAGAATACCAAGGATTTACTGTCAGAAGGCCACAAAAAAAAAAATTTAACTTCAATAATATATTCATATAGAGATCGATGTTGAATTTTGTACTAATAGTGAGTTCATATAATAAATTTGTACTTTCATATGTTTGTTCTTTAATATTTGCTTTATGATTTGAGTTTTTTTTCATCTTGAATCAATATGTGTGGTATAATAGAAAATCTTTTGATTGCTTTCAATGGTAGTTCAAATTCTAATTCAATCAGAAAAAAAATAAGTGAATCATAAACAAGAGGAAAACCTTGAATTATTTATTAAAGAAACAATATTTTTGACAATCAAACATGAAAAAGAAAAGAATATCAGTCTTGTATAACCTATACATGTGATAGTGACAGATTTTATCTAGTTGTTTGCTTTTTCTTTTGTTATGTATACGTACAAGAAAAAAAAAAAGTAATTTCTTTCGAAGTGTCAAAATGTCAAATCTGTTCTATGATCATTGGCAAACCGTTAGACAAGCATAAGTACTTTTTTTCCACTGTGTCAAAGTTATTTATTAAGCTAAATATTAGCATTACGGGATAATTATAGTGATAAGAAGAACTTTTTCTTGATGTCTCTTTTACTAAAGCGATAATTCCAATCTGAATTACGTCAATGGTAGAAAAAGAAAATGTGCTAAGAGATAAGAAAGGATAAAATTAAGATGCGTTACTTTTGTTGTTTTTTTTTTTTGATTTATTTAGTCAAATTCAATATGTTGAAGATGATGAAGATGGACGATCGGAGGAAGGTGATGAATCAGATTCACCAAAGCCGTTTGATAAGTAAAATTTTTATTTATTTCGAAGAAAAAAAACCAAACAAAATAACATGCTAATATCATTTAGAAAAATGTTTATCGGTGGACTTTCATGGCAAACAACCCCAGGTAAATGAATATTCAAATAGATTTTTCCTTTGTTTAAAGTAAATCATCTGAAAAATTTACATAAATCAATATGAGTTTTTCATTAGGATTCTTATTTTAACAGTTTTGAAGAATTTCGAAACAAAAATTCGTATTTACTTATAATAATAACAGGAAATCATGTGAAGAACATATTAATATCTAAAAAAAGTGTTCTGATATGCACTAGCTCATATGTAGGTCACATATACAGATTGACAAGGTTACTCTGCAAAGAATAATGGATCTAATTGTTCAAGGTCATTGCGTATAATTTCCGTAAATCTAATCTATCAAGTTTGTTTTTATGTAATTCGAAGATTGAAATGTAAAAAAAGAAAAGGAAATTCTACGATCATGTTCCTCTAGAATTCCTTTGAGATTTGTTCTTGTTCTATCGATTTTGAATGACAGGTTATTATTTTTTTTCTATTTAAGAAAATTTAAAAAATTATTTTACTCAATTCGGTGAAGTATTAGAATGTATGATTATGAAAGATGCGATTACAAAACGGTCAAGGTAAATAATTATAATGCGTTATTTACTTATTTATTTATTTATTTATTTAAATCATATTTTAGAGGTTTCGGTTTTATTACATTTAAAGAAGCTAATTCGGTTGATAATGTTCTAGCTAAAGAAATTCATATGTTGGATGAAAAACAGGTATGAAATTATTTTTCTTCATACATCCGTTTGACAATTATCATAAGATATATTCTTAGTCTTAATCATTGTTTTGTGATTAACTAAATTTGATAATGAAGGTTTTAGTATTGTATGTGTTAAAGGCATTGAGAGATTTGATGTTGATTTACAAGATAACATTCGTATAGATCTGCTCGTATAAACAAGTGAACCGATTAAAAAAATGAGAAATAAAACAAAACTAATTGATGCAAGTATGCAATAATGTATAAAATGATGTTGAAATATTTCTGATTGATTACGATAAGAATTAGTAGCAAAAATAAATAAAACTGTTGTTGTTAAAAATGCCAATAATGTAAATAGAATAAACATGAATGCAAACCGAATATTATCATTACGAATGGAAATTTCATCTTGCCAAAGATTTGAAGAACGTCTTGACATATGATAATTATAAAAATGAATATTATCTACTGACTTTTTGGCTGTTTTTTGTTTTTTAAAGCTAAATGAGATTGTTTAATTAAACATATTAAAAAGAAAAAGGAAAGGTTTTTTTTTTTTTATATATATATCACAGGAAACATTACCATTTACTAGGAAAAAATATAGAAATAACTACTCGATTCATGTTTTTTTATGCTATTGCTTCATTATCACTCATCATTAGTTTGTAAACGTACTTTTTTACTTCTCCCATAGATAAGCATGTCTATTATAATTCTGAATTTTCACGGTTTATCATTACTTACATTTATTTTTACCAACACTTGATGAAGAATCTATTCTTTGGATATGTGTTTATATTTAAATATAAAGAGAAAAAAGCAGCGTTTACTGAAAACTCTAGGCAAATAATGACATTTTTTTGTTTTATGTACCGCTAATCCTAAGTCAATGCAATAAAAGAGCCAATAATTGAGATATATATTTTTATTTGAGTAAGATAATCATACGTAGACAGTGAGAATTTCTGTCCAATGAATTCTGTATAATGAAAAAAAGAATAGAACTTGACGTCTATAGCAAAAACAAAAACAACGGAGAACAGACAATGAAAGAGATGAAAAAAAAACATAAAAAAATACAATGTTCCATTTGGTGCAAAGAAGACGTGATCTGTTGTACGTGTATTTGCAATTTTCTTCTTTTTGTCTTGTCTATCAAACAGATATTAGAATATGGCCAGTACCATCATTTATTGTTCAATTAACTTTACTAAAAATTTACAGCTAATACATTTGTTTGGCAATATATCTCAGTTGTTTTTTTAAGTTTAACTATTACAAAAAAAAAAAAGAAACCAATAGATTGTTATTATTTACAAAAAAGTAACAAACAATTGGACATGTTTTGTCGTTAATTGTTATTATTATTGAAAAAGACATTTTCTTTCTTGCCCTGAGGCTATTCACAAATATATATATATATATATGAATTTCACACATATGAACTCGTCGACCGGATGTCGTTCTCTATATGTGATATCATCCAAAAAAAAACAATAATTAGCTGACCAATTATATTTTCTAAAGACAAAAAGATTAAAAAATAAATATACGTATACTCTATTGCCTTGTTTCCGCTTGATTCATTTTGAAAAAAAACTCCACTTTTGTGTGATACCTTAAAGAAGGAAGAAAAGAAAGAAAGAAAAACTAGCTTTTAAATTATCTATCTGACATATTCTATTAGTGTTATATGATTGAACTTTTATTTCATGTTTAGATTGATCCCAAGCCGGCCTATCCTCGTCAAAAACATCCTAAAGTAAGTGATCATTTACTGATCGTTGAAGTTTCTTTTTTTACTGTATATAATCTATGCGTGCGCGTAAATGATGACAGCTTTTATGCTCATTGCATGTTAGTCTCGTTGTTGGACGAGAAAGAAAAAGCGAGACTATTATTCATAGGAATTGATCCTATAGGCTGTTTAAAAAAATGACAGCAATAGCAGATCATTTGCGGGAGCGTGCATGTGCATCCGGTCTCTTTCTCGGATGTTCACAAGATGATTCAAGAACATTCGACTTTGCTGGAGTCGAGAGAGAGAGAGAGAAAGTCAAAAAAAAAGAATAGAAAAAAAAAACGAAGGGAAAAAGAAAAACAGAGAAAACAAACATAGTCTTCATCATCATCATCATCATCGTTTTCCGTTATAATACATCTAGAAAGAAAAAAAGATCCTCAAATGTAATCAACAAAAAGAGCGAGAACGAGAAAAAGAAAAAAACAGTATTCACTTCGTTCAACTCGTGATTATTCTTTATCGATGACAAAGAGATAGAAAGAACTGATGGCTAACAAAGATACAGTCAAGATCTAACTATCTATTCTCAAGTGACGAAATCCGTTTGATTTATTTTGCTTTCTTATATTTAACACTATTCTTTCAATCTAACAAATCTTCTTGTCACATATCATTTCATACAATGAACAACGGAAACAACCACACATTAGTTTTACTCGACAGTATAGCCGCTCAAGATCTTCTTAGTAAAGCAAAGGTATGAATAATTATTTCTCTGTTGAATAATTTTACATAATACTAGTCATATTGCATGATTATCCTTATCATAAAGAATACTCAATCGTTTGTTGATGTTCGATTTCTTTCCACACCGTCGGCAGCAATAGCAGAGAAGAGAAAAAAAGCTGTCGGTGGTATATGAAATGGAAAGAGAGCCAGAGAGAGAGAGACAGAGGGAGAGGAAGAGAAAATGAGACCGATTTAATTGAAGGATTGATTGCACCAGCATAACAACACATTCCTTCTCATTCTATCAACAATTTACACAAAATATAACGGAATAGAAACTATAACAGTCGTGTAGCAAATAACTCATTGTTTTTTTCTGTTATAAATGTGAATAACAGGTGATCGTTTGATTATCTTACGCGTTAAAAATTTTTTTTCTTTTTCTTATTGAAAGAGTTTTATTCATATGTGATAACCTTTAACCGTCAATGGGCAATGGTCGATCGATGAACGGTATTTTTTTTTTCAATACGTACGAAGAAAGAAAGAAAGAAAGAGATGAAAGTGTAATTTACATTATTGACAACGAACTCTTTCTCACAAGCGGCGTTCTTTTGTTTCCCTGACCTGTAAAGGCCTCCAACCATCCATCATTCCTCTTGTTCAGTTCAGTTAGACGAGCGTCACTGTTCGTTCTCTCAGTCACTAGCAACACCATCAACATGATCATTGTCCATCTTGTGGGTCTTTTTTTCTCTTCGTTCTCATTTTTTTTTCTCTCTATTGTCGTTGCCGTCGTCTTCTCGGCTCGTTTGACTCTACAATTCTGAAATTTCATAGGGTGATGTGCTGTCGATAGCAAGTATATAGGCAAGAGAGCAACAAGTAGTGTGTGCGCATATACGAGAGAGAATTTCAAACTCTTTCGCTCTCACTCTTCTCCGCTCGAGAGAAAAAAAAAACAAGAAGAAAAAAGAAAGAGAGAGAAGATAGATTTCGTTCTTCTCCATCCAACCCACTCATTCTTTCGCACGAATGTACACATATATCGAAACGTACAGTGCACATGCAATATACACTTAGATTCATACACAATAATTGATTATCGTCCAATGATGGCTACATATATATTTTTGGATCCAAATGATATTGTTCAACAACAACAAGCAATGGCAGCAGTTGCAGCAGCTGCTGCTAATAATACGACAAATAATAATAATAATTTTTTAACTAATACTATTCCTAATGCGACTGTTTTAAACAAAAGCTCGTCATCCAATGATGTAAGTTTGAATGAACAGCATTATTTCGCTTTTCTTTTCTTGTTGTTTTTTTTTCTTCTCTTATTTACTGACCGATTGAAATGACTTTTATCTTTACCGTTATATGTCTGTATACATACATTCATCACATGTCTATTTAACTAACCTTCATGTGATTACACATATCATGTACATAAAGTATTTGAACCTTTTTTTTCTTTCTTTGTCTATTTTTCTTTAATCCATCATCATCTTTGTTTATGTGGATTGAACTCGATCGGCGGGTGGAAAGTCATCTAGGTTCTTTTTTTTTACTTGGATTTACGTCACAAAGGTCATCACTAGCGGGTGTAATTTGAATATGAAATGAGAATGTGGAAAAGAAAAAAAAGACTTCGATCGTATAATCAAATGAGTACGAGTATAAGTGTGCATGCGCATGTATGTGAGAATGAGAGAGAGGAAAAAAGCTATTCGTCGCTATTGCCAATTGATCGGTAATAGTGAGAGAAATTTAGATTCACTCGTTGTCGTCTCTCTCTCCTCCCTAATTAAACACAAAATGATAATGCCCAGAAGAACTAATAGAAGAATTTTTCTCTTCACTTGTTCGTTCGTACAGCTGCTAGTACTACAACAATACCATTAGTATTGAGTGGTTCTCTTTCTTTCAGCTTTATATATATGTATATATATATATTGATTATAATCATCGTCGTTGATGAGAACGACAAGGTTCATTAGATCGGCAATGCAACAGATTGATTCTCGGCAAATGAATAATGAGAACGAGTTGTCTCTCGAGATACCTTATGTACATATATGCTGAAGTAAAGTAATGTACTCAAGGGAAAACATAGAAGAACCGGAACTATACAACAATGATAAAGAGACACTTACATATGAGATCCGTAAATCCGCAAGTAAATAAAGTACGCGTGCGTGTGTGTGTGTGTGTAGGAGTAATCATCGATTCTTTCCTTTTTCTTTTTGTTTTAAACATTACATATCTTCTTCTTAAGATGGTGACACGAACAAAGAAGATCTTTGTTGGAGGATTATCAGCTAATACAACTGTTGAAGATGTTAAAAAATATTTTGAACAATATGGAAAAGTAGAAGATGCTATGTTAATGATTGATAAACAAACAGCACGTCATCGAGGTTTATTCATATAAATTGTTATGATTTAATCTTTTCTTTTTTTCTTAATTTTCTTATTCTAAACAGGTTTTGGTTTTGTCACTTGGGAATCTGAAGATGTTGTTGATAAAGTATGTGCCATTCATTTTCATGAAATCAACAATAAAATGGTAAATATTTAATTCAATTAAACATATATATAGATATAGATATATATATATAAATATTCTATTAAATTGAAACAGGTTGAATGCAAAAAAGCTCAACCGAAAGAAGTTATGTATGCTCAACAGATGGCTAAAGGAAAAGCAGCTTTACAACGCGGTGCCTATGGTGATATACTCAGTAAATAAATAGTTTTATTTTTACTTTTATCTTGATTTTAAATTTTCTCAATAATATATTTGTTATAGGTGCTTATGTATATGGCTTAAACCGAAGTATTCCAACAACCTATGCAACACCAATCTATCCATTTTCACCTGGTATGTTTAATTAATTTTATTCGTTTACAAAAAAAATCCAATATTTTCAGCTACATCATGAAAATAAAAAAAGAAAAATCATAATCCGTATGTGTTTTTTTTCTATTAGTAGATTATGAGCGCATAGACGATAGGATAGAACAATAAACAAGATATATATATAGCATCGTAGTTCGAATTTTTGTTAGGTACACGTTTTTTTTTTATTGTTCTGTTGAAAAAAAGTGTCTCTAGTTTATATATTTATGTTTGTTTTTTCTTATGTACGCACTATAATTTTTTTGTAGACGGAATGTCCTCTACTGATGGTGAGAGTGTGCTATAGAAAAATGACACATAAAGCTTGTTTTAGAATATATTATTCATACACATTTTGATTATTTAATTAGTCAAATAATGATCAATATAAAAACACAGATCAAAAATTCAGCAGTATGTCAGTTAGAAAATACCTAAGTATATTCTACTGCTGTTTTTCTTTGACTTGTGTATAAATTATCTTCTTTTCCTTTGCCCCTTCTGAAGATTATTGAATTAGCTATATCGACAGAAGCTTTTTTTTCTTTCTATTTAATATTTCATCTGAATTATAAAAAAAAAAAAAACTTTTTTTTTTATTATATTAGGTTTACCATCAGGACAGATTAGTTATATTCCGGCAACTGTTGGTCTTCAAACACCAACCTTAACACCAGGTGGTGAACAACGCTATTTTGAATATCCACTAACACCACAAGGAATTGCTGCTGCGGGTGGTCAAATTCATCGAGATTCGATATTACAACGAAGTAAAATTTTGTGCTGTTTTTCTTTTTTTTTTTGAAAGATTGAATAATCTAAATTTATTTAAGGTGGTAATGGTATTGATTTCTTTCAAGCAGATGCACTTGCAGCACAATATTTACAACCAACAAGCCCATCACCTGGTTTACCTATCGCTGTAAATAGAAATATTTTTTATGTCAAAAGAAACGAATTTATTGATTTTTAGACTTCATTATTAACATCACCTTATGCTAATGGATTTCATGGTCATTAAATCGGTAAACTAAAAATATGAAATTCTTCATATAAATTAATTTGTTTTTTTGTTTTCTTTAATGTTAGACGTCAAATAATGTCGACTGTATATTGTGTTTTTGTTTTTGCATGCCTACTATTCTGATCCCACCATTTCATGTGTATTATCATCTGATTACAGTGCAAAGCCCTGTTTTGAAAAACAAGATCATCGAATTTGTCCGTGTTCAAATGCTTTTTTTTTTTTCGACATTCCTTTGTCTTCCTTTATTTACATCATACACATACAAACATATGCTTGATTATTACATATTATTTTTTATCTAATTGTTTTCTACACAAACATCTTTTTGTCGGCATGCATATTCTTGTTGTTTGTTTATTTCGGACTTTCTTTTTTTTTTGTTTTGTTTCTTGGATGTCCCTCTTTTCTTTTTGTTTTTTGAAAATAAGAAAAAAAACAGCAAAGAGAACGAATCAACGATATTTTCATGTTTGTTTTTTTCGTCTATCTCTGCCGATGTGATACTGTGTATGAATAGGAACATAGATTAGCAAAGGTAGAGTTTATGGTTAGAGAAAAATAAATGAGTTTATAGGCAAGACAAGTACTGTTTTTTTCTTTTTCTATCGTGTAATTTTGTTTTTGTTTTTTTGTTTTGCACTGATCATGATGGCTATTTGATTATTTTGATTTTGTTTTTCTCAACCGGTTTATCTCATTATTCTTTACTCTTTGCTTAAAAATTGAATTGTCTGCAAATAGTGTGTGACTGCTTCGTTTTCTTCTTCCTTTTTTTTGTCGCGTTTTCTCTCTCTCTTTCTCTTGCCGTTGTCATTGTTTTTTGTCTATCACTTCTCCGCGTATTGAAGAATAAAACGAGATCTCTGTTCAATCAAGTGGAAATTCATGGTTTATAAACGATAACTATTTTGTCAAGTTTAATCATTACGTTGTATACCTAAAAAACACAATTAATTATTAGAAAAGAAAGTTTTCTTTCTCATTGTGAAATAATTTCAAAGAGGAGATAAAGCAAAAGAAATTCAGCCTATAAATATGCCAAATTGTTAATAGATAGTGTGTGGGTGTAGGTGAGATTGATGGTAAGATAGAAGATGATCGTAAGAACACGTCATTGGAGCGAAACGAACGGCCACTTTCACCGTAACCGAGAGAAATCTAGTCTTAGAGAAATAATATTTCTAGTTTTTCTTTTACTTCTGATATCTCCTTTTCTGTTATTTGTCATAGGTTATTTTTGTTCACAAGCAGAAATTATCAAACAGAGATTGAGTAAAAGTTAGTAACAGTTTGACGTTTCTCACGATCTTACTTTAAAAACTTATATTAGACAGAGAAAATTGTTTTATTTAGAGCTGTGCAAATTCAAGACTTCTAACTTGTGCTTGTTCAAAAGTTATAAAGGTTTACTAGAGACGCTCGATTTCGACTAATGAGCCTTAGATTACGCAAAAAAGATGGATCTACAGAGAGGTAATTGACTACATTGAGTCAAGTAGTGATGTTCGTCGATATTTTGAAAATCTAAATACAATAATTGTAGATCGACTTGAAACTAAAAAGAAACATTATTACTCGACTCAACGTAATCAATTACCCTTCTCTAGATCTGTTTTGTATGTAACCAAGGAATAACTAGTCGAAATCGAGCCACGTTGGAAAGCTTTTATAACTGTTGAACAATACAAGTTAAAAGTCTCGGATTCGTGTCGATCAAAAGAAAATCATTTCTTCTATCGAATATAAGTTTTAAAAGTTAAAACTTAATGTTTGATCTTTTAAAGTCCTGATAATTTTGTAAAGACTTGTTTCGAAATGTTTAGGAAACCTTTTTGAAAAAAAGTTTAATGTGCTCCGAACTTGACTACAATCTGAGAAAAACCGTTTTGCAATATCGTTTAGCGTCTGTGAGTTATTCAAATTATCGAAACTTACCTTCTATTTTAAATGTACCTTTATTTATTCATCATGGATAGTGCATGGAGCTACTCATAAGATTTTAAATGTGTTATTAAATGAGGAAATATTGAATCAATCTTTTGTTTTTTTTTGTAAATTTATATTTCTAGAAAGAATGATTCAAGTTTTCAAAAGAATAAAATTTATTATAACTAAGATATTTCTAATTTGATGTTTTATTATTAAAAGAAGAATTAAATATTCTGACCAAAGAAAGCAGTGACAAATAACGATAACCAGCCTGTTGTAATAATATGATGGGTCCAATAGAAAAATTATTCTGTCTCAATCAATTTTGATTTAATGAATCTGAAGACATCATCAAGTCAATTATTGTTAATTTCAATCACAATGAAATCATATTCGAAATCAATTATTTTTGTCAATATATGTAATAATCAAAGAAGACAATCAAGTTAATAAGCCTCGTGTTTAAACTGAAAAATGATCAAAATTCAAAAGATATTCTCCTTTTGTAATCGAGTTTGGTTTTGTTTACAAAAGATTTCTCTACAAATCAGTAGAATGAGCAATTATTGTTAACTGATTAATTATTTTATCCGTTCTTCTTTCTTTTATTTATGTCTTCATTAAAAAAGAAAGAGACAGTCAACTCACAAAAAATTTATGAAAACATTTCAAACCCATTTGATATGTAAAACAGAATAAATATAGAATCTCATGAAATGATAAATCATTTTTGAGATGAGTCTTATCTTATTAGGTAATCCGTATTGAAGCTAGAGAAAGCCTACGAGTAAACTCTATTACGTACAAAGTTTTTCAGATCCAAACTTGGTCGGATTCCCGAACCTGGAACCAACTCGGAGGATTCTACCAACAAGGATTCATGTCCATGCGTCTTTCTTGTTGACTAATGACCATTTTAGTGAGTTTTTCAATGAAGTTCTATAGACTCTTTCAGATCATTTTTAAAGCCAACTTTCGAATTCAAACATTGCGTAAATGAAGTTTTTAATAGGTACAAGTTCATTATGAAAATGTCAAATCTTCTAGCATTTTCCGTTTTCAAATATAAAGATAAGAACATAATTCAAACTTGAAAGTCGACTTAGATGGTGTTCTGAGAAGATTCATGGAGACGAATTCTTTTAGATTTTCTCTAATTTCGAAGCGTCTATCTGATGAAGCACGTCAGAACTGATTTATCACTGTGTAAGATTTCCGCGTCAGATCATTCAACTCGATCTGATTATGTGTAAAAACAAAAAAAGTAATTTTATTTATTGATTTGTCAAGTTTTTTCTTCTTTGAGATGACAAACTGCGTCTATTTAATAACATATTAGGCTATTAATTTAGCATTAAACCTTTTGGTAATACAACAGTTATAATATGCCTTACTAATTTGTTCTTTGAATAAGAAAAAATAATAATGTAATAACCATAACGAAAGATTTATTCATCTTAGAGATTATCACAGATAGGATCGGATTATGAAGTATTGTTTATTTAATGTTAGATTCAATACAGATAAATTGTGTTTTGTCTGTCAGGCTTTTTATAAATACTCTTAATGTATAATAATCTCGATGACAAAGAATATTTTAATATGTTATAATCTTTGTTTTTATTTTCAATAAGTAGAAATAAAGAAATTACTTTTTCAAAATAGAAATCAAAAGAAAGATTTTCTTAAGAGAGAAAAAAAAGGTGTTCTGAAAGTTTCAGCCTTCTATTATTTAAATTAAACAAGCCCTAGAGATTGAATTTTGATTAGAAAGGCTAGAAAATTATCGAAATAACATTTTAAAAATTTGCAAAGGTGATTTTTGATGTCAACACATTCAGCTCTACGACTTTTGAAAGTTTAAAATAGTTCAGATGAAGTCGATGTAACTGCAGTACGTTTCCCAAAGAATCATACAGATCTATGTATATAATTGCAAGAATTTCTTTTTGATGAATTATTATTTGATAAATAAGAATCTAGTACCATTAAATATCATCTTTAGATGTCCAAGAAAAAAAACGACAATAAAATTTCATAATTCTCTTTGGTCATTTAAATAACTAATCGAATATTTATTTGATAGCGACCTCATGACAAGCAATCTTTAACGAATGTTCAATAAATTATTTTAAAATGTTAAATTGTGAGGAAGAAAAATCGTTTGATGAAAATGATTTTTCATCATTAGTTGCATCAAGTTTTCGAAATGTTATTGAAAATAGTGTAGCAGATCTTGTATTACCTTATCGAATATTATCTCTTACACATCTATCATCATGGAAAACATTTCAAAATGATTTGATTCAAATTTTGAAACGGAATTCTAATAGCAATCAAGAAAATAATCAGGTTTTAGTTTATTTCTATCTTTTGCTTTTTTTTATTTGATATCTTTTTTTTTTTTTAAATCATAGGATCTTCTTCTTTTACATCATTTTCATTATTATACAAACCATTTTAATGAAAAACAACAAGAAGATTGTTCTTTTGAAACTTTAATGAATTCTCACGTTGGTTTTATGCGAACTCAATCAGATTTTGATCGTTTACGCCAATTTATGTAATCTTCTAGAACAATAAAACTTTTTTTTTTTTCATAAAGAATAACTTCTAAAACTTTTAGGAAAACTTTAAATTTTCTCATTTAACTAAATAATAAATCATGTAAACAAAGAGATTCTTTTGGTTTTACTTACAGAGTTTTTAATGTTTTTATTCTTGACTTAATGGTATGCATGAATATATAATTAGGAATATAGACTACATAACGAAACCTTAGAATAATAAACTCTAAAAGAAAGGTTTTATTATCCTTCTAAAACTTATATTAAATTTTCATTCATCTTCTTATGATTTATGAATATGACACACATATACTAAAATGGTTTATTAAAATTCAATGTAGAGTTTGTAAGGATAAGAACTTCTTTTTTAAACGTTAACTATTCGGAACTTTTCTCAATTTTAAACGTACCGAAACACATTTATATTTGGCATTTTTTTTGTATAAATGTTCAATTGGCAAAACGATGAATTCGCGAAGTTCGAGAACTACTTGACAT